ACACTTATATGAGATGTTTCATGAGTTCATCTTCTGTAGTACTATAAATAAGATGTCATCAAAATAAACAAAAATAAATTTACCAAAAAAGGTTTTAGACCCTGATTCATCACTCTCATAAAGATACTGGGGGCATATGATAAGTCAAAAAGCATGACCAATCATTCATAAAGACCTGCCCTTGTTTTAAAGGCAGTTTTCCATTCATCTTTTGCCCAAATTCGGATTTGATGATATCTGCTTTTCAAAATACATTTTGAGAAAGTTTCAGAACCACAAATCATATTTGACCAGTCATTGAACAGGTCTTGGTATCAGATCAGCTATTTTGATATCTGCATCAGGTTTTTGAACTATAACAAATAATTAAGTCAAAATATCAAACTCCTTAAAAAAATATGTCTAATTGATGGACATTATTTTTTTTCGTCTTTCTCTCATTTGCTACATCAGTGTCTTGCATTGGAGCCCAAACAAACTTCTTATCATTTCTATAGAAAAATTATAAATATTTTCCTTGCCACGATATCAACATCAAACTGCTATGGCCTGCCTTATATCATGGAAAAAGCATCTATGTAAACAACATAACATTGTACTTCATGAGAATAGGTTTTTGCCAATTGAAACTTTGATTAGATAGGTTTCTGAAACTTTAGTTTCTATTTACTTTTTGATCCAAAAAATTCGATATGGATGAAGGTGTGGGTTTGTTTGGAAACCTAATTTTTTAACTCTTACAAAAGAGACAATGTTCTCACTTTTGCCACTATTAATGATTATATCACATACCTTAGATATCACAGTGCACCTTGTTCTCAAAATACTATGGCCCTGTCGGTCATCTTTTCTTTTCGATGAATACATAAATCTGCTGACTACAAGTGAATGTGACAGTGCATCTCCAGTATCAAATTCAATAAAAACATTTTCTACCTCACATTCAATTTCTTGTTCTTGATGTTCCGTTTCCTCTTCAATAAAATCTGTAAGGTTTACCGTTCCACTATTAGGACAGATATTTAATTTGTGTCCACTTTCTTCAATCCTGTAGCACTTATAAATGACATTAAGAGTATAACGATTCTTGTTAGTAGAGACTTAGGCCAAAGGGTTCGCCCCACTTGATCTGACAGAACCTTAATTCAGTCATCCATTACGTTGTGTAGAAGAAAAACCAGTAAATCTTCTTCTTTTTTGTTAAAGAGTTGAATTAAGACTTCCAAAATTTCGAATTCTGGTTTTTCATTTCTCTAATAAGGCTTCAGCACATTCGGCAGCCATTACCATGTCATTAAGCTTGAAAAATGACTATAAAGTTACTTTATATTCAATTTCCCATCTGAGACCACCTTTAAATCTTGAAATCATATGACTCAGATTCTGTCAAGTAAATAATAAAAATCTTCAGCATAATCAGAAACTGATCTATTCCGTTCTCTGCGGTTTTCATATTGTTGATAAAAAATATAGTCACAATCTAGGGGAAGAAAATGAGATTTCAAGAGTTTTTTCATTTTCTCCCATGATCGTATAGATTCTTTGCCTGACCTCATACGTGTGGTCTGTAATTGATCCCACCATGTAGAGGCTCCACCCTTCAGTTTATCAGCAAATAGCTTGACTTATTTTTCATCAGAAAATTTCATATATTGAAAAAAAATTCTACTTGAACTAACAAATCTAAGAACTGTTCAATTTTCAAATGACCATTAAAACATGGTAAGTCAATCTTCACACAAAAATTTCGAAAATTATTTTCTTCAAAACTTGATCTAGAACTTTTAAAACCAGACAAACAATGAGTATCTGATAAATATTTGGAGTCTTCAACCCTTGAATCCATAAGGATGTGCCTGAATTAACAAGCAAGAGGGAAATGTTTTCACAGTGGAGAACTGAGGTATGTCCCTCTGGTTACAATGAGGGCCTTTATATAGGCTTAAAACTGAGGTTGGGCGCTCCCTAAAAGGAGAATTCTGACAAATCTTAGGGACAGAGTCTGACTAACTCTAAAATAACTTAAAACAGACTCTGAAAGATAAAGATCTTAGAGAAATCTTCTTAAAATACTCTGACATGACCTAAAGTAGACTCTGACAGTGAGAGACTCTGAGCAAATCTTAGATACAGAATTTGAAAGTCAGAAATCCTGAACAGATCTTAGATAAAGACTAAACCACATTAAACTCTCTTCTAGAAGGAATGAGACATAAAGTACCTTCTAAAAGTGAAAGGACATAAAGTGGGCTCAAATTTTGATCTCCAGCCCACTGGTGACATATGTGAGCTTCTTTTTCTTGCACTTTTTACTTTATGGCCCAAAATCAGGATAAGTGAGCCTAAATTCGAAGTTGACACTTTAACTTGTGTCTTGGGTTGCATCAATAATGCAAACCATCCACAGTATTTCACATTCTTGAAGATTACATATTTTTTAAAAATCAATTTTGTATCCCTTAAACTTCTTTACATAAGAAGTTATTTCTGTAAGAGGACTTGTAGAAGACTTGGGCCATGACAAAACTTTCAAAATGATGAAAGCTACACTATTTAACTATCATAAAATAGAGTATCAGGATTTTGTCCATGGTACGTTAGAATCCTGAACACTCAGGAAAACAATCATACAATAACTTCATTTAATTATCTGATAAAAGCGAATTGATTTATCTAAACCTTCATTGCACTTGATTCTATTGCTTTTTAGCATTTTTGACGCAGATATTATTACCTCCTGCTCTTGGGTCAAAAACCTTCCATTCCTCATTTGACAGCAGTTTCTGGGCTACATCACTAATGTACTCATTCTTGCTTTAAATTCTTTCAACATTTCACTAATATCATCATATTTGTTTTCTATTTTATGTTGAAATGCTATGAAATCTAATTTTGAGAGGGAAAACGTCAGATAAATCATTGAACACCAAAATGAGCACTGAGTGGCCTTTATTAGAAAATTGACTTGCTCTGATACCCAGCCTGTTACTGCTGAATCGTCAGAACCAAAAGCTGAATCCTCAAATTTAATCAGCCTGTTACTGCTGCAGCTTGAAACACACTTTAGTTTGCTGTGCTAATTACGACAATAGGGCTATATATCTCCTTTTGTGGGGTCTTCATCTATGGTCCTCTCTCATGTCTATGAAAATTAGAAGGAGAAATCATCTTCGTTTTCTTTGTCTCAGTTTTATGTATTTGAACCTCTTTTATCTTAGCTAATTCAATCTAAATTTGTAAAATTCTATTCTCCTTTACCTTATCAAATTAAAATAGGCGAATTGGTGAATGAAGTCGGAAAATGTCACCTTCACCAGCATTTTTACCAGTTTGAAAACACTCTTTTGTAAATGTTTTCTATAAAACGCCATTTTTACATCAAGTTAATTTCTTCCCAAATTTTGTTGAACATGATATCCTTCTGCACTACCTTTATAAGAATTCATTGCCATAATAATTATCCACACATATGGACGGGAGAAGAAGCTTTAAGCTCATGGAGTTGGTCTACTATTTTGTGACACTGTAGGAAAAACACATGAGAGAGGTTCAACAATCAGTTAAAAAAAGACACCCTAGAATTATGTACTGGCAAATTTTTACCTTGTATGACTGCAGCTTCAGAGGAAAAAAAATGGAGAGCTTCCATTAAAACTAGGCAAATTAATTTTCATTCAAAAATCTGTGCAATCATCATAATCAGATCTAATTTTGTTTCTGACCAGTTTGACCACGAGATTGACATTCTTTTGCAGACACTCGTGCTATGATTTACTTCAAAGTGTCATTCAAATCTCTATGTAAATCTTGAAATCACCAAACTCTGATTTCGAAATTTCATTGTCATTGATGTGAATTCATTTACCTAGTGACATCTTGTAAATCTAAATCTAAAACACTAACCTTGCTCTGATACCACTTGATGTAGTGAAACTTGAGGGATTGGCTTGAACGAGTCATGATCCTCAAAACTTTGAGTTTGTAGAGGTTGAATTTCGGATGAAAGTTAAATTTCAAATGAAAATTTTAATTTCGAATTTGAATTAAAATGAAATTCAAAAAAAATAATTAAAATAGATATATGGGCCTAATTTCATCGTTTGGCCAAAAAAGTGGACTTTGAGCTGCAACAGTAATGGGCTTCAGACAAAGAGAGAGAGAGAGAGAGAGGCAAAGAGAGGGAGTGTTTGAGCGAACGAACAGACACGAGTCATTTTTGTGAAATGTTGCATCATATATTACATTTTTGAGAGGGAGGAGACAATCATGAAGTTTTCACCAGAGAGCGGAGCCGTTGATCATCATAAAGGCACGGATAGAAAAAGAACGCGTCCCCACTGAAGAGGCCAAGTGGACTAAAGAAAGTTAACGAATTTTCAAAGGTGACCTAAGCCAAGTCAACAAATGTTTCGAACGGCACGCGGCCATGTCATTCATGGGGTCATATGGGCTGTTACGTGCTGGAAGGGTACCACGTGGACCCTAGATGGGCTTCTTTTAATGACATGGCGAGGAAGACAGAGCGAGGATTTAGGTACTTAGATCTTCGAAGCCCATAAAATATTATATAAAAAATTATTTTAAACAAAATAAGGCACGCCATCAGCCAAATTTATCACCGAACAGCCAAGAAAAGTGAATTCATGCACGGGGATTAGTCGGAGGAGAGTTACGCAAGAAACATCGGGGAACGAGGGCAACAACAGGAGGGTGTATGTGCTCAAAGACGACCAGTCGCCGCCACTACCAACGACGACGAGCTCCAGGGCAATAGGTAACCAGGTATGTCTTCCTCGTCAGCTTGGTCGCCGGTGTTGGGGGGACGAGCGGACGACTCGGAGTTGGGCAAGGCGAACAGAGAAGATGGGCTCAACGTATAGTCTTCCTGGAACGCCGCCGGAGGCAGCCCGTGGTCGGACCAGAGGAAGGAGGATGAGGGTACGAAGGTCGTTCCCTTCAGAAAGCTCTTCTCCTTCGCCGACTCCACCGACATTGTCCTTATGGTTCTTGGGACCATCGGATCGCTGGCGAGCGACGTCTCCATGTCGCTGGTGAGCTTCCTAATTGGGCGCATGGCAGACGCCTTTGGGGAGGCTGCAGACATCCATGACGTCATCCGTAGGGTCTCCAAGGTGGGCAAGGAAGCCATTCCCGCAGCTGATGATCCTCTCTTTCTTAGCGCCTCATCGTTCAATTTGTCCGCAGGTCTCTCTGCACTTTGTTTACCTGGCTATCGACGCCGGCGTCGAGTCATTTCTTCGTAATCTCCCTCCCTTCCTGAATCTTCTCCGTCCGTCCGGCAGCGGAGGTGGTGACAATGTTTCTTTCTTCTTCGTCTTCTTCTTCGGGGTCTGTCTGTGGCAGACGTGACCTGCAGGATGGTCACCGGTGAGAGGCAGGCGGCGAGGATCAGGAATCTGTACTTGAAGAGCATCCTGAGGCAGGAGATCGGCTTCTTCGACCAAGGAGACGTGCACGGGGGAAGTCATGGGCAGGATGTCCGGAGACACCGTCTTCATCCAAGACGACATGGGCGAGAAGGGGGAGTTTATGGTCAATGATAAATCTTCTACATGGTTCTTGTTCTTCTTCTTCTGCGCTGAAGGATTCCCGTCGTTCATCCTTTGCTTTCCAGGTGAGCAAGTTCATCCATCTGGTGTCAACTTTTGTCGGGGGATTCGTCACAGCGTTCGCCAGGCCTGGCTCCTCGCCCTCGTCATGCTGTCTACCATCCCCCCTCTTTGTGGCCGGCGCCGCCATGTCCACGCTCTTCGTAAGGATGGCCTCTCGCGGACAGACGGCCTACGCGGAGACGTCGGTGATCGTCAAGCAGACGATCGGCATCATAAGAACGGTGAGTAGCGCCACCGCCACCCACTGCAGCGCCATGATAACAGGGTGGACAGATAGATCTTCTTACTTCTTCCTTATCACCGGGTGTGGTCTGCGCGCAGGTGGTCTCATTCACAGGAGATAATCTGGCCCTGGAGAAGTACGCTAAGTCGTTCAGGGCTTCCTACAAGGCGAGTTGCCAGGAGACCCTCGCCGCCGCCGCCGGCATCGGCACCGTCCTTGGCATCATAATCTTCGGCTTCGCCCTGGGCATATGGTACGGGAGTAGGCTGATACTGGACAAGGGCTACTCCGGCGGGGACGTCTTCAGCGTCATCCTCTCCATCTTGTTCGCCTCCTTGTGAGCCCCCCCTCCAGCCGCCGCCGCTCGGTTTACTTTCTCCTTCCTGCATTCCCCCCTGCTCAAACCGCCCGGTTTTCTCTGTCCGCCGGCCGGAAACGCAGATCACTGGGGCAGACGTCGCCGTGCATAAGCGCGTTCGCGGCGGGCAAGGCGGCGGGGTTCAAGATGTTCGAGACGATCGAGAGGAAGCCAGAGATCGATGCATACGACGAAGGCGGGAGGACCTCCGGGGGGGCGCCGAGTTGAGGGACCCGCACTTCAGCTACCCTGCACGGCCGGAGGAGCCCGTCTTCACCGGCCTCTCGCTCGTCATACCGACCGGAACGGCAACCGCCCTGGTCGGGCAGAGTGGCAGCGGGAAGTCGACAGTGATCAGCCTCATCGAGTGATTCTACGACCCGTAGTCCGGTGCGGTACTCATCGACGGCGTTGACCTCCGGGTCTTGCATCTGCGGTGGATCCGCGGGAAGATCTGCCTGGTGGTCAGGAGCCCGCGCTATTCGCCGCCAGCATCCGGGACAACATCGCCTACGGCAACGACGGGGCCACCGTCGAGGAAGTCCGCGCCGCCTCAGAGCTCGCCAACGCCACCAAGTTCCTCGACAAGATTCCCCAGGTCCTTCCTCCCCCCTCCGATCCTCCTCAATCTTCGCGGACGCCAGCGGGGCTGACTTCTTCTTTTTCTTCTTCTTCTTCTTCTTCTGCAGGGGCTGGAGACGATGGTAGGGGAGCGCGGGACGCAGCTGTCCGGGGGGGGAGAAGCAGCGTGTGGCCATCGCCAGGGCGATCCTGAAGAATCCGTGCATCCTCCTCCCCGACGAGGCGACGAGTGCGCTCGACGCAGAGTCGGAGCACATCGTGGAGGAGGCGCTGGACCGGGTCATGAAAGACCGCACCACCGTCATCGTCGCTCACCTCCTCAGCACCGTCAGGAACGCCCGCAACATCGCCGTAGTCCAGCGGGGGCGCATCGTCTTCTCCGATACCTGCAAGTACCTGGTTTCGCCGTCGACGGCGCCGGAGTCTGACGGTGGTCGCCGCCTCTGCGCAGGATCGCACGAGGAGCTGCTCAGGGACCCGGAGGGAGCGTACTGCCAGCTCATCCACCTGCAGGAGGCGGCGAAACAGGAGTCGTAGCCGATCAGAGGAGCACGTCGTCGATGGAGATCCGCCGGCAGTTGAGCCAGATCCGACGCTCCATCAACCCCGGATCCTCGATGGGAAACAGCAGCCGCCACTCCTCGGTGGCCTTTGTCATGTCAGCGGAGATCGGCATCTATGACGATGAGGTGGCTCCAGGGATGGAGGAGTCGCCGGCGGAGCTCGAGGGCGAGCTGTCGTGGGCCGCCCGCGAGCCGCCGTCCGTCTCCCGCCTTGCTGCCATGAACAAGCCGGAGATCCCGGTGCTTCTGCTGGGGGCAGTCACCGCGGCGGTGGGCGGCGTCATCATGCCGGTGTTCGGCCTTGTGCTGTACAGAACAACCGAGACGTTGTACAAGCCGGCGGCCGAGCTGAAGAAGGGCACGAGGTTCTTCGCTCTGATCTCACTGCACTCGGGCTAGTCTCCTTGGTCTCATACCAAGCGAGGAGCTACTTCTTCGCGGTGGCGGGTGCTCGGCTGGTCAAGAGGATCAGGATGAGGACCTTCGATACAATTAGAAACTACAAGTACTGATGTGTTGGGGTTACATCTGAATCCTGAGCATAGAGAGAATTCTCATACAATGTCCGTGGCATAAAAGGTTCTCTTTGAACAAGCACGAGCTTAGAAATCTCTAGATCTCCTTGAACAAGAATGTTGTGCAAGAGGAGGGTCTTAATCGCAGAAAATTGCAGATAATTAACTTCATGTCGTCCAAGGCAATATTCTTGACAACCATTTCTTCGTCGGTAAATTACAGATGATTGATTTCATCGATATTCCGCAATAATCCATTACTAGCATCGATTCTTGCCCACATATAAGAGACTGAAATAAGTTCTCTAATGCGAATATTAAGTGAAAACATACATGTTAATGAGTATCAGAATTAGGGAAAACATGCATGTTAATACCCCGCAAAAACTTTCCAATTTAACATAAAAATAATTCTATTTATAATGAGTCTTGTACAATCAACAAAAACTGCGTTAACTCATGATCGATATGTCATTGGCTTACGAGAGACAATAGGACTATCATCTACATACAATCTTACAGATATCATTGGCTTACAAGCAGGTTATAGATACCTATAATGACTAATTCAGCCCAAACAAAGAATCCACTACTAAAGAAGGCTGACGCCTAACATTAATGCACCTTGATGCCCATTAACTTTGCAGCTTGTAGCCCACAAAACTGGCCGAATTAAAAAATAAGGCTCATATGTTTTTTTGTGTTAGTTTCCGAATGTCATTTGCAATTAAAAATTGAATTTCTAAATTCAAATTATTGTTTAAGTAAAAATGTCATCCAAAATTCCAATTTCAGCAGAAATTTGAGTACATATTTAGATTATATTTCAAACTAAAACTTTGCACCCTGTGTAGCCTTACCTTAGAGGAATATTTTCTTTTTTTTTAACATTACTTTGTGAGTCTTGCTGTCTTGAAGTTCTCTTTCTGCTGGTGGACTCCAGCACCCCTGTGCAGTCAAGGAAGTTTTTCAACATTCTGTGGACTTCAAATCATCCAATTGTGGACTCAAGGGATCTGTTTTCATTTCATCCTAGGTAAATTTTGCAGACTCAAATATCTGTGGTAGGTAAACCTTGCAGACTCTTTTGAGGATGAAGTAGACTATGAAGAACTAGAACTTGAACGTGACGTGCACGAAGTGCTTGTTGGACACTATCCTAAAGAGTCATGTAATCACCAAGGAGAGAAGAAGCCTTACAGTAATGAGCACATTGTTTCTTTTGTGATCGCTATCTTCAAAGGCATCTGATATAGCAAATGATAGTGGCAAAAGTAACATTACTATCTCTTGTAAGATTATTAAGAAACTACATTTCTAGACAAACACAGACCCTCGTCAGTGTCGAACTGGTATGATCAAGAGGCAAAAAGAAATTCAGAAATGTGTCTAATCAAAAAGGCATAGTTTGACGAAGCACAATGTGGTGTTGTGGAGATGCATCCTTGACGGGTGTAATTCGGCATGTCATACAGTTTATTTTATTCCTGTAAACCGTGGTGAGGCAAATATTTTTATTTTCATAGAAATGGTAAAAAAAATATTCTGACTGCAATCAAAGACAGTGAATTTAGCAAAAGAAAAAGAGAAGAAACATTATGCTTATGAAACAAACATAGGTTACCGAGATGTAAGACATCGTTTTGACACAAGAAAAGATGGTGTACTTCTTTGAAAGAAACATGTAAGTTGTTTGATGTCTGTTGGCAATATAACTGACAACAAGAGAACAATTAAATAAAGATTCTCATTTTACATCTTCAGAGCTCTTTTTAAAACCTCCTTTAAAAATAAGAAAGGGCTTTAGGAACGGTTGGTCATACCTTTTGGCTACATATAGTGTTTTAGTATAAGATTGTGTATGACACCTTCATGAACTGTGTTCATATAAGACTGTATATCACACCTTCATGCAGTGTTTTCATATTATTTGCACCAATAATAGTGTTGGTACCTATATTTAATCAAATGAAATTCTTGGAGGAAAACAATATACCACTGAAAATAGAGATTTATTATATGAAAACTGTGCTTGTGCCAAAGCTTAATCCCAATATTTTCACTTTCCTCCTGAAATCCAATGAATATAGTAACCCAGAGTTCTATTGGATAGTTCAGTTTCACCATCCATATTCCGGTGGCACAAAATACAAAATTTCAAAAACGTTTCAAACCTCTTCCTGACCTCATACATGTGGTCTGTAATTGATCCCACCATGTAGAGGCTCCACCCTTCAGTTTATCAACCAATAGCTTGACTTATTTTTCATCAGAAAAATTCATATACTCAAAAAAAATTCTACTTTAACTAACCAATCTAAGAACAATTCAATCTTCAAATGACCGTTAAAACATGCTAAGTCAATCTTCATACAAAAATCTCGAAAATAATTTTCTTTAAAACTTTATCTAGAACTTTTAAAACCAGACAAACAATGAGTATCTGATAAATATTTGTAGTCTTCAACCCTTGAATCCATAAGGATGTTCCTGAATTAACAACCAAGATGGAGAGGTTCTCACAGTGGAGATAACGGATTCAACTTAAAAGGTATTTCCCTCTAATTACAATGAGGATCTTTATATAGGGTTAGAAATGAGGTTGGGCGCTCCCCAAAATGAGGATCCTGACAAATCTTAGGGACAGAGTCTAACTAACTCTGAAATAACTTAAAACAGACTTTGAAAGACTAAGATCTTAAACAAATCTTTCTAAAATACTCTGACATGACCTAAAGTAGACTCTGACAGTGAGGGACCCTGAGCAAATCTAAGATATAGAATTTGAAAGTCAGAAATCCCGAATAGATCTTAGATAAAGACTAAACCACATTAAAGTCACTTTTAGAAGAAATGGGTCATAAAGTACCTTGTAAAAGTGAAAGGTTATAAAGTGGGCTCAAATTTGGATCTCCAGCCAATTGATGACATATGTGAGCTCTTTTTTCTTGCACTTTTTACTTTATGGCCCAAATTCAGGATAAGTGAGCCTAAATTAGAAGTTGACGCTTTAACTTGTCTCTTGGGTTACATCAATAATGCAAACCATCCACAGTAATTCACATTCTTGAAGATTACATATTTTTTAAAAATCAATTTTGTATCCCTTGAACTTCTTTACATAAGAAGTTAATTCTGTAGGAGGACTTCTAGAAGACTTGGGCCAAGAAAAAACTTTCAAAATGATGAAAGCTACACTATTTACCTATCATAAAATGGAGTATTATCTGACAAGAAAGCTACACATAAGAAAGCTACACTATTGTGTTCGTGATACGTTGGAATCCTGAACACTCACGAAAACAATCATACAATAACTTCATTTAATTATCTGATAAAAGCGAATTGATTTATCTGATGAAAGCCGCACTTCATCCTATTGCTTTTTAGCATTTTTGAGGCAGATATTATTACCTCCTGCTCTTGGGTCAAAAACCTTCCATTCCTCATTTGACAGCAGTTTCTAGGGTACATCGCTAATGTACTCATTCTTGCTTTAAATTCTTTCAACATTTCACTAATATCATGATATTTTTTTTCTATTCTATGTTGAAATGCTATGAAATCTAGTTTTCAGAGGGAAAACGTCAGTAAATCATTAACACCAAAATAAGCATTGAGTGGCCTTTATTAGAAAATTGACTTGCTCTGATACCCAGTCTGTTACTGCTGAATCGTCAGCACCAAAAACTGAATCCTCCAATTTTACCAGCCTGTTACTGCTGCAGCTTGAAACACACTTTAGTTAGCTGTGCTAATTATGACAATAGGGCTATCTCCTTTTGTGGGGTCTTCATCTATAGTCCTCTCTCATGTTTGTGAAAATTAGAAGGAGAAATCATAATCGTTTTCTTCCTCTCAGTTTTATGTATTTGAGCGTCTTTTATCTTAGCTAATTGAATCTAAATTTGTGAAATTCTATTCTCCTTTACCTCATCAAATTTCAATGGTCGAATTGGTGAATGAAGTCGGAAAATGTCACCTTCATTAGCATTTTTACCATTTTGAAAACACTCTTTTGTAAACGTTTTCTATGAAACGCCATTTTTACATCAAGTTAATTTCTACCCAAATTTTTGTTGAACATGATATCCTTCTGCACTACCTTTATAAGAATTCATTGCCATAATAATTATCCACACATATGGACGGGAGAAGAAGCTTTAAGCTCATGGAGTTGGTCTACTATTTTGTGATGCTGTAGGAAAAAACACATGAGAGAGGTTCAACAATCAGTTAAAAAAAGACACCCTAGTATGTAGTGGCAAATTTTTACCTTGTATGACTGCAGCTTCAGACGAAAAAGAATTAAGAGCTTCCATTAAAACTAGGCAAATTAATTTTCATTTAAAAATCTGTGCAATCATCATAATCAGATCTAATTTTATTTCTGACCTGTTTGACCACGAGATTGACATTGTTTTGCAGACATTTGTGCTATGATTTACTTCAAAGTGTCATGCAAATCTCCATGTAAATCTTGAAATCATCAAACTCTTATTTCGAAATATAACATACCTCAGAACTTTCATTGTCATTGATTTGAATTCCTTTACCTAGTGACATCTTGTAAATCTAAATCTAGAACACTAACCTTGCTCTGATACCACTTGATGTAGTGAAACTTGAGGGATTGGCTTGTACGAGTTGTGATCCTCAAAACTTTGATGTTGTAGAGGTTGAATTTCGGATGAAATTTGGATTTCAAATGAAAATTTTAATTTCGAATTTGAATTAAAAGAAAATTCAAAAAAAAAAAGAAAATAGATATATGGGCCTAATTTCATCATTTGGCCAAAAAAGTGGACTTTGAGCTGCAACAGTAGTAGGCTTCAGACAAAGAGAGAGAGAGAGAGAGAGGCGAGAGAGGGAGTGTTTGAGGGAACGAACAGACACGAGTCATTTTTGTGAAATGTTCCATCATATATTACATTTTTGAGAGGGAGGAGACAATCGTGAAGTTTTCACCAGAGAGCGGAGCCGTTGATCATCATAAAAGCACGGATAGAAAAAGAACGCGTCCCCACTGAAGAGGCCAAGTGGACTAAACAAAGTTAACGAATTTTCAAAGCTGACCTAAGCCAAGACAACAAATGTTTCGAACGGCACGCGGCCATGTCATTCATGGGGTCATATGGGCTGTTATGTGCTGGAAGGGTACCACGTGGGCCTCCCGAGATCGTGGCCCCTAGATGGGCTGCTTTTAATACTTAGTACGGGTAAGAGACGGTAGAAAATCTGTTGGGCCTAGGCCTACTGTATCTCAATGAAATGGCCTTTGAACCTTCCATGACTCTTGCTCTCGAACTGTGAGTCTTACTATGGGAACTATATGGCGAGGAAGACAGAGCGAGGATTTAGGTACTTAGATCTTTGAAGCCGATAAAATATTATATAAAAAAATATTTTAAACAAAATAAGGCACGCCATCAGCCAAAATTATCACCGAACAGCCAAGAAAAGTGAATTCATGCACGGGGATTAGTCGGAGGAGAGTTACGCAAGAAACATCGGGGAACGAGGGCAACAACGGGAGGGTATATTCTTCAGGGCGATAGGTATGTCTTCCTCCTCAGCTTAGTCGCCGGTGCTGGGGGGACGAGCGGACGACTCGGAGTTGGGCAAGGCGAACAGAGAAGATGGGCTCAACGTATAGTCTTCCTGGAACGCCGCCGGAGGCAGCCCGTGGTCGGACCAGAGGAAGGAGGATGAGGGTACGAAGGTCGTTCCCTTCAGAAAGCTCTTCTCCTTCGCTGACTCCACCGACATTGTCCTTATGGTTCTTGTGGGACCATCGGATCGCTGGCGAGCGACGTCTCCATGTCGCTGGTGAGCTTCCTAATTGGGCGCATGGCAGACGCCTTTGGGGAGGCTGCAGACATCCATGAAGTCATCCGTAGGGTCTCCAAGGTGGGCAAGGAAGCCATTCCCGCAGCTGATGATCCTCTCTTTCTTAGCGCCTCACCGTTCAATTTGTCCGCAGGTCTCTCTGCACTTTGTTTACCTGGCTATCGACGCCGGCATCGAGTCATTTCTTCGTAAGCTCCCTCCCTTCCTGAATCTTCTCCGTCCGTCCGGCAGCGGAGGTGGTGACAATGTTTCTTTCTTCTTCTTCTTCTTCGGGGTCTGTCTGTGGCAGACGTGACCTGCTGGATGGTCACCGGTGAGAGGCAGGCGGCGAGGATCAGGAATCTGTACTTGAAGAGCATCCTGAGGCTCCTGCCTCAGGAGACGTGCACGGGGGAAGTCATGGGCAGGATGTCCGGAGACACCGTCGTCATCCAAGACGCCATGCGCGAGAAGGGGGAGTTTATGGTCAATGATAAATCTTCTTCCTCTTCTTCTTCTTCTTCTTCTTCTTCTTCTTCTACATGGTTCTTGTTCTTCTTCTTCTGCGCTGAAAGATTCCCGTCGTTCATCCTTTGCTTTCCAGGTGAGCAAGTTCATCCATCTGGTGTCAACTTTTATCGGGGGATTCGTCACAGCGTTCGCCAGGCCTGGCTCCTCGCCCTCGTCATGCTGTCCACCATCCCCCCTCTTTGTGGCCGGCGCCGCCATGTCCACGCTCTTCGTAAGGATGACCTCTCGCGGACAGACGGCCTACGCGGAGACGTCGGTGATCGTCTAGCAGACGATCGGCATCATAAGAACGGTGAGTAGCGCCACCGCCACCCACTGCAGCGCCATGATAACAAGGTGGACAGATAGATCTTCTTACTTCTTCCTTATCACCGGGTGTGGTCTGCGCGCAGGTGGCCTCATTCACAGGAGATAATCTGGCCCTGGAGAAGTACGCTAAGTCGTTCAGGGCTTCCTACAAGGCGAGTTGCCAGGAGACCCTTGCCGCCGCCGCCGGCATCGGCACCGTCCTTGGCATCATAATCTTCGGCTTCGCCCTGGGCATATGGTACGGGAGTAGGCTGATACTGGACAAGGGCTACTCCGGCGGAGACGTCCTCAGCGTCATCCTCTCCATCTTGTTCGCCTCCTTGTGAGCCCCCCTCCAGCCGCCGCCGCTCGGTTTACTTTCTCCTTCCTGCATTCCCCCCTGCTCAAACCGCCCGGTTTTCTCTGTCCGCCGGCCGGAAACGCAGATCACTGGGGCAGACGTCGCCGTGCATAAGCGCGTTCGCGGCGGGCAAGGCGGCGGGGTTCAAGATGTTCGAGACGATCGAGAGGAAGCCAGAGATCGATGCATACGACGAAGGCGGGAGGACCTCCGGGGGGACGCCGAGTTGAGGGACCCGCACTTCAGCTACCCTGCACGGCCGGAGGAGCCCGTCTTCACCGGCCTCTCGCTCGTCATACCGACCGGAACGGCAACCGCCCTGGTCGGGCAGAGTGGCAGCGGGAAGTCGACAGTGATCAGCCTCATCGAGTGATTCTACGACCCGTAGTCCGGTGCGGTACTCATCGACGGCGTTGACCTCCGGGTCTTGCATCTGCGGTGGATCCGCGGGAAGATCTGCCTGGTGGTCAGGAGCCCGCGCTATTCGCCGCCAGCATCCGGGACAACATCGCCTACGGCAACGACGGGGCCACCGTCGAGGAAGTCCGCGCCGCCTCAGAGCTCGCCAACGCCACCAAGTTCCTCGACAAGATTCCCCAGGTCCTTCCTCCCCCCTCCGATCCTCCTCAATCTTCGCGGACGCCAGCGGGGCTGACTTCTTCTTTTTCTTCTTCTTCTTCTTCTTCTGCAGGGGCTGGAGACGATGGTAGGGGAGCGCGGGACGCAGCTGTCCGGGGGGGGAGAAGCAGCGTGTGGCCATCGCCAGGGCGATCCTGAAGAATCCGTGCATCCTCCTCCCCGACGAGGCGACGAGTGCGCTCGACGCAGAGTCGGAGCACATCGTGGAGGAGGCGCTGGACCGGGTCATGAAAGACCGCACCACCGTCATCGTCGCTCACCTCCTCAGCACCGTCAGGAACGCCCGCAACATCGCCGTAGTCCAGCGGGGGCGCATCGTCTTCTCCGATACCTGCAAGTACCTGGTTTCGCCGTCGACGGCGCCGGAGTCTGACGGTGGTCGCCGCCTCTGCGCAGGATCGCACGAGGAGCTGCTCAGGGACCCGGAGGGAGCGTACTGCCAGCTCATCCACCTGCAGGAGGCGGCGAAACAGGAGTCGTAGCCGATCAGAGGAGCACGTCGTCGATGGAGATCCGCCGGCAGTTGAGCCAGATCCGACGCTCCATCAACCCCGGATCCTCGATGGGAAACAGCAGCCGCCACTCCTCGGTGGCCTTTGTCATGTCAGCGGAGATCGGCATCTATGACGATGAGGTGGCTCCAGGGATGGAGGAGTCGCCGGCGGAGCTCGAGGGCGAGCTGTCGTGGGCCGCCCGCGAGCCGCCGTCCGTCTCCCGCCTTGCTGCCATGAACAAGCCGGAGATCCCGGTGCTTCTGCTGGGGGCAGTCACCGCGGCGGTGGGCGGCGTCATCATGCCGGTGTTCGGCCTTGTGCTGTACAGAACAACCGAGACGTTGTACAAGCCGGCGGCCGAGCTGAAGAAGGGCACGAGGTTCTTCGCTCTGATCTCACTGCACTCGGGCTAGTCTCCTTGGTCTCATACCAAGCGAGGAGCTACTTCTTCGCGGTGGCGGGTGCTCGGCTGGTCAAGAGGATCAGGATGAGGACCTTCGATACAATTAGAAACTACAAGTACTGATGTGTTGGGGTTACATCTGAATCCTGAGCATAGAGAGAATTCTCATACAATGTCCGTGGCATAAAAGGTTCTCTTTGAACAAGCACGAGCTTAGAAATCTCTAGATCTCCTTGAACAAGAATGTTGTGCAAGAGGAGGGTCTTAATCGCAGAAAATTGCAGATAATTAACTTCATGTCGTCCAAGGCAATATTCTTGACAACCATTTCTTCGTCGGTAAATTACAGATGATTGATTTCATCGATATTCCGCAATAATCCATTACTAGCATCGATTCTTGCCCACATATAAGAGACTGAAATAAGTTCTCTAATGCGAATATTAAGTGAAAACATACATGTTAATGAGTATCAGAATTAGGGAAAACATGCATGTTAATACCCCGCAAAAACTTTCCAATTTAACATAAAAATAATTCTATTTATAATGAGTCTTGTACAATCAACAAAAACTGCGTTAACTCATGATCGATATGTCATTGGCTTACGAGAGACAATAGGACTATCATCTACATACAATCTTACAGATATCATTGGCTTACAAGCAGGTTATAGATACCTATAATGACTAATTCAGCCCAAACAAAGAATCCACTACTAAAGAAGGCTGACGCCTAACATTAATGCACCTTGATGCCCATTAACTTTGCAGCTTGTAGCCCACAAAACTGGCCGAATTAAAAAATAAGGCTCATATGTTTTTTTGTGTTAGTTTCCGAATGTCATTTGCAATTAAAAATTGAATTTCTAAATTCAAATTATTGTTTAAGTAAAAATGTCATCCAAAATTCCAATTTCAGCAGAAATTTGAGTACATATTTAGATTATATTTCAAACTAAAACTTTGCACCCTGTGTAGCCTTACCTTAGAGGAATATTTTCTTTTTTTTTAACATTACTTTGTGAGTCTTGCTGTCTTGAAGTTCTCTTTCTGCTGGTGGACTCCAGCACCCCTGTGCAGTCAAGGAAGTTTTTCAACATTCTGTGGACTTCAAATCATCCAATTGTGGACTCAAGGGATCTGTTTTCATTTCATCCTAGGTAAATTTTGCAGACTCAAATATCTGTGGTAGGTAAACCTTGCAGACTCTTTTGAGGATGAAGTAGACTATGAAGAACTAGAACTTGAACGTGACGTGCACGAAGTGCTTGTTGGACACTATCCTAAAGAGTCATGTAATCACCAAGGAGAGAAGAAGCCTTACAGTAATGAGCACATTGTTTCTTTTGTGATCGCTATCTTCAAAGGCATCTGATATAGCAAATGATAGTGGCAAAAGTAACATTACTATCTCTTGTAAGATTATTAAGAAACTACATTTCTAGACAAACACAGACCCTCGTCAGTGTCGAACTGGTATGATCAAGAGGCAAAAAGAAATTCAGAAATGTGTCTAATCAAAAAGGCATAGTTTGACGAAGCACAATGTGGTGTTGTGGAGATGCATCCTTGACGGGTGTAATTCGGCATGTCATACAGTTTATTTTATTCCTGTAAACCGTGGTGAGGCAAATATTTTTATTTTCATAGAAATGGTAAAAAAAATATTCTGACTGCAATCAAAGACAGTGAATTTAGCAAAAGAAAAAGAGAAGAAACATTATGCTTATGAAACAAACATAGGTTACCGAGATGTAAGACATCGTTTTGACACAAGAAAAGATGGTGTACTTCTTTGAAAGAAACATGTAAGTTGTTTGATGTCTGTTGGCAATATAACTGACAACAAGAGAACAATTAAATAAAGATTCTCATTTTACATCTTCAGAGCTCTTTTTAAAACCTCCTTTAAAAATAAGAAAGGGCTTTAGGAACGGTTGGTCATACCTTTTGGCTACATATAGTGTTTTAGTATAAGATTGTGTATGACACCTTCATGAACTGTGTTCATATAAGACTGTATATCACACCTTCATGCAGTGTTTTCATATTATTTGCACCAATAATAGTGTTGGTACCTATATTTAATCAAATGAAATTCTTGGAGGAAAACAATATACCACTGAAAATAGAGATTTATTATATGAAAACTGTGCTTGTGCCAAAGCTTAATCCCAATATTTTCACTTTCCTCCTGAAATCCAATGAATATAGTAACCCAGAGTTCTATTGGATAGTTCAGTTTCACCATCCATATTCCGGTGGCACAAAATACAAAATTTCAAAAACGTTTCAAACCTCTTCCTGACCTCATACATGTGGTCTGTAATTGATCCCACCATGTAGAGGCTCCACCCTTCAGTTTATCAACCAATAGCTTGACTTATTTTTCATCAGAAAAATTCATATACTCAAAAAAAATTCTACTTTAACTAACCAATCTAAGAACAATTCAATCTTCAAATGACCGTTAAAACATGCTAAGTCAATCTTCATACAAAAATCTCGAAAATAATTTTCTTTAAAACTTTATCTAGAACTTTTAAAACCAGACAAACAATGAGTATCTGATAAATATTTGTAGTCTTCAACCCTTGAATCCATAAGGATGTTCCTGAATTAACAACCAAGATGGAGAGGTTCTCACAGTGGAGATAACGGATTCAACTTAAAAGGTATTTCCCTCTAATTACAATGAGGATCTTTATATAGGGTTAGAAATGAGGTTGGGCGCTCCCCAAAATGAGGATCCTGACAAATCTTAGGGACAGAGTCTAACTAACTCTGAAATAACTTAAAACAGACTTTGAAAGACTAAGATCTTAAACAAATCTTTCTAAAATACTCTGACATGACCTAAAGTAGACTCTGACAGTGAGGGACCCTGAGCAAATCTAAGATATAGAATTTGAAAGTCAGAAATCCCGAATAGATCTTAGATAAAGACTAAACCACATTAAAGTCACTTTTAGAAGAAATGGGTCATAAAGTACCTTGTAAAAGTGAAAGGTTATAAAGTGGGCTCAAATTTGGATCTCCAGCCAATTGATGACATATGTGAGCTCTTTTTTCTTGCACTTTTTACTTTATGGCCCAAATTCAGGATAAGTGAGCCTAAATTAGAAGTTGACGCTTTAACTTGTCTCTTGGGTTACATCAATAATGCAAACCATCCACAGTAATTCACATTCTTGAAGATTACATATTTTTTAAAAATCAATTTTGTATCCCTTGAACTTCTTTACATAAGAAGTTAATTCTGTAGGAGGACTTCTAGAAGACTTGGGCCAAGAAAAAACTTTCAAAATGATGAAAGCTACACTATTTACCTATCATAAAATGGAGTATTATCTGACAAGAAAGCTACACATAAGAAAGCTACACTATTGTGTTCGTGATACGTTGGAATCCTGAACACTCACGAAAACAATCATACAATAACTTCATTTAATTATCTGATAAAAGCGAATTGATTTATCTGATGAAAGCCGCACTTCATCCTATTGCTTTTTAGCATTTTTGAGGCAGATATTATTACCTCCTGCTCTTGGGTCAAAAACCTTCCATTCCTCATTTGACAGCAGTTTCTAGGGTACATCGCTAATGTACTCATTCTTGCTTTAAATTCTTTCAACATTTCACTAATATCATGATATTTTTTTTCTATTCTATGTTGAAATGCTATGAAATCTAGTTTTCAGAGGGAAAACGTCAGTAAATCATTAACACCAAAATAAGCATTGAGTGGCCTTTATTAGAAAATTGACTTGCTCTGATACCCAGTCTGTTACTGCTGAATCGTCAGCACCAAAAACTGAATCCTCCAATTTTACCAGCCTGTTACTGCTGCAGCTTGAAACACACTTTAGTTAGCTGTGCTAATTATGACAATAGGGCTATCTCCTTTTGTGGGGTCTTCATCTATAGTCCTCTCTCATGTTTGTGAAAATTAGAAGGAGAAATCATAATCGTTTTCTTCCTCTCAGTTTTATGTATTTGAGCGTCTTTTATCTTAGCTAATTGAATCTAAATTTGTGAAATTCTATTCTCCTTTACCTCATCAAATTTCAATGGTCGAATTGGTGAATGAAGTCGGAAAATGTCACCTTCATTAGCATTTTTACCATTTTGAAAACACTCTTTTGTAAACGTTTTCTATGAAACGCCATTTTTACATCAAGTTAATTTCTACCCAAATTTTTGTTGAACATGATATCCTTCTGCACTACCTTTATAAGAATTCATTGCCATAATAATTATCCACACATATGGACGGGAGAAGAAGCTTTAAGCTCATGGAGTTGGTCTACTATTTTGTGATGCTGTAGGAAAAAACACATGAGAGAGGTTCAACAATCAGTTAAAAAAAGACACCCTAGTATGTAGTGGCAAATTTTTACCTTGTATGACTGCAGCTTCAGACGAAAAAGAATTAAGAGCTTCCATTAAAACTAGGCAAATTAATTTTCATTTAAAAATCTGTACAATCATCATAATCAGATCTAATTTTATTTCTGACCTGTTTGACCACGAGATTGACATTGTTTTGCAGACATTTGTGCTATGATTTACTTCAAAGTGTCATGCAAATCTCCATGTAAATCTTGAAATCATCAAACTCTTATTTCGAAATATAACATACCTCAGAACTTTCATTGTCATTGATTTGAATTCCTTTACCTAGTGACATCTTGTAAATCTAAATCTAGAACACTAACCTTGCTCTGATACCACTTGATGTAGTGAAACTTGAGGGATTGGCTTGTACGAGTTGTGATCCTCAAAACTTTGATGTTGTAGAGGTTGAATTTCGGATGAAATTTGGATTTCAAATGAAAATTTTAATTTCGAATTTGAATTAAAAGAAAATTCAAAAAAAAAAAGAAAATAGATATATGGGCCTAATTTCATCATTTGGCCAAAAAAGTGGACTTTGAGCTGCAACAGTAGTAGGCTTCAGACAAAGAGAGAGAGAGAGAGAGAGGCGAGAGAGGGAGTGTTTGAGGGAACGAACAGACACGAGTCATTTTTGTGAAATGTTCCATCATATATTACATTTTTGAGAGGGAGGAGACAATCGTGAAGTTTTCACCAGAGAGCGGAGCCGTTGATCATCATAAAAGCACGGATAGAAAAAGAACGCGTCCCCACTGAAGAGGCCAAGTGGACTAAACAAAGTTAACGAATTTTCAAAGCTGACCTAAGCCAAGACAACAAATGTTTCGAACGGCACGCGGCCATGTCATTCATGGGGTCATATGGGCTGTTATGTGCTGGAAGGGTACCACGTGGGCCTCCCGAGATCGTGGCCCCTAGATGGGCTGCTTTTAATACTTAGTACGGGTAAGAGACGGTAGAAAATCTGTTGGGCCTAGGCCTACTGTATCTCAATGAAATGGCCTTTGAACCTTCCATGACTCTTGCTCTCGAACTGTGAGTCTTACTATGGGAACTATATGGCGAGGAAGACAGAGCGAGGATTTAGGTACTTAGATCTTTGAAGCCGATAAAATATTATATAAAAAAATATTTTAAACAAAATAAGGCACGCCATCAGCCAAAATTATCACCGAACAGCCAAGAAAAGTGAATTCATGCACGGGGATTAGTCGGAGGAGAGTTACGCAAGAAACATCGGGGAACGAGGGCAACAACGGGAGGGTATATTCTTCAGGGCGATAGGTATGTCTTCCTCCTCAGCTTAGTCGCCGGTGCTGGGGGGACGAGCGGACGACTCGGAGTTGGGCAAGGCGAACAGAGAAGATGGGCTCAACGTATAGTCTTCCTGGAACGCCGCCGGAGGCAGCCCGTGGTCGGACCAGAGGAAGGAGGATGAGGGTACGAAGGTCGTTCCCTTCAGAAAGCTCTTCTCCTTCGCCGACTCCACCGACATTGTCCTTATGGTTCTTGTGGGACCATCGGATCGCTGGCGAGCGACGTCTCCATGTCGCTGGTGAGCTTCCTAATTGGGCGCATGGCAGACGCCTTTGGGGAGGCTGCAGACATCCATGAAGTCATCCGTAGGGTCTCCAAGGTGGGCAAGGAAGCCATTCCCGCAGCTGATGATCCTCTCTTTCTTAGCGCCTCACCGTTCAATTTGTCCGCAGGTCTCTCTGCACTTTGTTTACCTGGCTATCGACGCCGGCATCGAGTCATTTCTTCGTAAGCTCCCTCCCTTCCTGAATCTTCTCCGTCCGTCCGGCAGCGGAGGTGGTGACAATGTTTCTTTCTTCTTCTTCTTCTTCGGGGTCTGTCTGTGGCAGACGTGACCTGCTGGATGGTCACCGGTGAGAGGCAGGCGGCGAGGATCAGGAATCTGTACTTGAAGAGCATCCTGAGGCTCCTGCCTCAGGAGACGTGCACGGGGGAAGTCATGGGCAGGATGTCCGGAGACACCGTCGTCATCCAAGACGCCATGCGCGAGAAGGGGGAGTTTATGGTCAATGATAAATCTTCTTCCTCTTCTTCTTCTTCTTCTTCTTCTTCTTCTTCTACATGGTTCTTGTTCTTCTTCTTCTGCGCTGAAAGATTCCCGTCGTTCATCCTTTGCTTTCCAGGTGAGCAAGTTCATCCATCTGGTGTCAACTTTTATCGGGGGATTCGTCACAGCGTTCGCCAGGCCTGGCTCCTCGCCCTCGTCATGCTGTCCACCATCCCCCCTCTTTGTGGCCGGCGCCGCCATGTCCACGCTCTTCGTAAGGATGACCTCTCGCGGACAGACGGCCTACGCGGAGACGTCGGTGATCGTCTAGCAGACGATCGGCATCATAAGAACGGTGAGTAGCGCCACCGCCACCCACTGCAGCGCCATGATAACAAGGTGGACAGATAGATCTTCTTACTTCTTCCTTATCACCGGGTGTGGTCTGCGCGCAGGTGGCCTCATTCACAGGAGATAATCTGGCCCTGGAGAAGTACGCTAAGTCGTTCAGGGCTTCCTACAAGGCGAGTTGCCAGGAGACCCTTGCCGCCGCCGCCGGCATCGGCACCGTCCTTGGCATCATAATCTTCGGCTTCGCCCTGGGCATATGGTACGGGAGTAGGCTGATACTGGACAAGGGCTACTCCGGCGGAGACGTCCTCAGCGTCATCCTCTCCATCTTGTTCGCCTCCTTGTGAGCCCCCCTCCAGCCGCCGCCGCTCGGTTTACTTTCTCCTTCCTGCATTCCCCCCTGCTCAAACCGCCCGGTTTTCTCTGTCCGCCGGCCGGAAACGCAGATCACTGGGGCAGACGTCGCCGTGCATAAGCGCGTTCGCGGCGGGCAAGGCGGCGGGGTTCAAGATGTTCGAGACGATCGAGAGGAAGCCAGAGATCGATGCATACGACGAAGGCGGGAGGACCTCCGGGGGGACGCCGAGTTGAGGGACCCGCACTTCAGCTACCCTGCACGGCCGGAGGAGCCCGTCTTCACCGGCCTCTCGCTCGTCATACCGACCGGAACGGCAACCGCCCTGGTCGGGCAGAGTGGCAGCGGGAAGTCGACAGTGATCAGCCTCATCGAGTGATTCTACGACCCGTAGTCCGGTGCGGTACTCATCGACGGCGTTGACCTCCGGGTCTTGCATCTGCGGTGGATCCGCGGGAAGATCTGCCTGGTGGTCAGGAGCCCGCGCTATTCGCCGCCAGCATCCGGGACAACATCGCCTACGGCAACGACGGGGCCACCGTCGAGGAAGTCCGCGCCGCCTCAGAGCTCGCCAACGCCACCAAGTTCCTCGACAAGATTCCCCAGGTCCTTCCTCCCCCCTCCGATCCTCCTCAATCTTCGCGGACGCCAGCGGGGCTGACTTCTTCTTTTTCTTCTTCTTCTTCTTCTTCTGCAGGGGCTGGAGACGATGGTAGGGGAGCGCGGGACGCAGCTGTCCGGGGGGGGAGAAGCAGCGTGTGGCCATCGCCAGGGCGATCCTGAAGAATCCGTGCATCCTCCTCCCCGACGAGGCGACGAGTGCGCTCGACGCAGAGTCGGAGCACATCGTGGAGGAGGCGCTGGACCGGGTCATGAAAGACCGCACCACCGTCATCGTCGCTCACCTCCTCAGCACCGTCAGGAACGCCCGCAACATCGCCGTAGTCCAGCGGGGGCGCATCGTCTTCTCCGATACCTGCAAGTACCTGGTTTCGCCGTCGACGGCGCCGGAGTCTGACGGTGGTCGCCGCCTCTGCGCAGGATCGCACGAGGAGCTGCTCAGGGACCCGGAGGGAGCGTACTGCCAGCTCATCCACCTGCAGGAGGCGGCGAAACAGGAGTCGTAGCCGATCAGAGGAGCACGTCGTCGATGGAGATCCGCCGGCAGTTGAGCCAGATCCGACGCTCCATCAACCCCGGATCCTCGATGGGAAACAGCAGCCGCCACTCCTCGGTGGCCTTTGTCATGTCAGCGGAGATCGGCATCTATGACGATGAGGTGGCTCCAGGGATGGAGGAGTCGCCGGCGGAGCTCGAGGGCGAGCTGTCGTGGGCCGCCCGCGAGCCGCCGTCCGTCTCCCGCCTTGCTGCCATGAACAAGCCGGAGATCCCGGTGCTTCTGCTGGGGGCAGTCACCGCGGCGGTGGGCGGCGTCATCATGCCGGTGTTCGGCCTTGTGCTGTACAGAACAACCGAGACGTTGTACAAGCCGGCGGCCGAGCTGAAGAAGGGCACGAGGTTCTTCGCTCTGATCTCACTGCACTCGGGCTAGTCTCCTTGGTCTCATACCAAGCGAGGAGCTACTTCTTCGCGGTGGCGGGTGCTCGGCTGGTCAAGAGGATCAGGATGAGGACCTTCGAAAAGGTTCTCAACATGGAGATGGCCTGGTTCGATGAGCCGGCAAACTCGAGCGGCGTGGTCGGCGCGAGGCTCTCGGTGGACGCCGCAGCGTTCCGGAGCCTCGTCGGCGACGCGCTCGCCATGGTGGTCCAGAACTTTGCGGCCATGCTGGCCGGCCTGATCATCGCCTTCGTGGCCAGCTGGCAGCTCTCCCTCATCGTCCTTGCTTGCTGCCGCTGATCGGTCTCAACGGCTGGGTGCAGATGAAGTTCATCAAGGGTTTCGGTGCTGACGCAAGGGTACTCATCTTCCTTATTTCATCATCATCTTCTTCTTCTTCTTTACGAGATGATCTGATGGTGTTAAGCCCAGTCAAGAAATACTATTTCAAAACTTCTTTAATCCTGACCGTCCATCTCTCCTGAGTTATAACGGTTGAGATGAAAGCTACGTGGAATTGTGGCCCCACGAATCGTAACTGTCTTTAAGGACCGTTACTTCCCCTCTCTCCTATAAATTCTACTCAACATGTTCGATGAAATGTATAAAGTAGAGAGGTTGCTCTGTTTTCTTTGAAAACATCCGTGCTTTGATCCTTCCCCATTCTTTCTCCAGATCCTTTGATCCCAACATTTGGTATTAGAGCAGTGTTGCGGAGAGAAGAAAGAAGATGCCGCCCAGTGGAGATGGTATGGAAGGCGAGAGCTCACTCGCTGCAAGTGGAGCTGTGAAAGTACCTGGAGATGCCGGATATCTAGGTACGTTCCCAGTCTTTAATAAGACCAATTATCCAGTGTGGGTGATGCATATGCAACTCCACTTAGAGGCTCACAGCTTATGGGATGCTATTGAGTCGGAGACAATAGCAAGGAAGAAGGATCGGCAAGCCCTCTCCGTGATGCTTGAAGCCGTGTCGGAAGACATCCAGAGACAACTCAACATCACAAAAATGGCAAAAGAAACTTGGGAGCTTTTCAAAGCGACGTATGTGAGTGACTCGTCTCACGAAATCAAAACTTCAACGTCTCAGGTGAGAATTTGAGATGCTTCAAATGGGGGATGATGAAACTGTGACAGACTTCGTCGGAAAACTGTCACGAGTTGTCACTCAAATCAGACATTTTGGGTGAAAAGCTGGAGGAAGGTGTAGTTGTCGTCAAGCTTCTTCGAGCAAAACTAGGGAGATTTGATCTAATTACGACGTCTCTCGATCATTCTGGCGACATCGACTCCATGTCATTTGAAGAAGTAGAGGGATCTCTTAAGATCTACGAAGAGAAGCTCAAGTTCCGTCAGCAGGAAAAGGAAGAACAAGTCCTTCTTTCTCACAGACTTGAGAAAATAAGTGGTGGACCTGCCCGCGGCAGGGGACGTGGTCGAGGTCGTGGGTGGCTGAGGAAGAGGAAGAAGTAATGGGAGAGGCTCGGATGAAAATTGGAAGCCTCGTGACAAATTCACAGAGAAATGCTACAACTGTGAAAAAAATGAGATGTGTTGTAACCTTTTGGCTTTGGGTTTTTTTCTTTATAAATTTTTTCTTCTGAACACTCGTTCTTTGCTGCGCTGAATCCCAAGCATGAGTGCAAATATCATCCACCTCTTTCCCCGACATCACCCCCTGACATGTCTGGCATCTCCTTCCCTGCTAAGTATGCTCTCCGTCATTTTCCTTTCCTTTATCCCTAGTAGAAATCCCCTTGTTCTTCCCGTTTTCGTCGTCAAATAATACTCCCTCATGTGAGCACACCCTTCTCAACTGGTGGCTAACTACCCCGTCTTTTTCTCCCCTTTTCCCTGGTAAGAATCACTCCGGTCTACCCTTCCTCAGCCTCTTGTAGGCTCACCACCCCTTTCATCTGGTGTCCTTCTTTTTCGTCATCCAGCTGCAACTCCTTTATTTAGTGGACAAGCATCCCTCCCCACCTGGAGCCTGCCTGCCCATCCTACTGCATCCCTCTTTTCTGCAGTGGCTCCCACCCACCTTCTCCAATCTCACATCCATGAGTCCACCTTAGTGAATCTTCATCTTGTCTCTGTACTAATTTAATGATGGGCTGATTATCCAGGGTTGATATAGCCATACTAGGAGAAATTTCCTAAATTTAGAAAGCCAAAGTCCACGTACATTCTGCTTGATAAATTTGAAGTATGGTCTACAGCTTGAGTACTCATTTTCATGTCTTCATATTTTAGTAATGCATCTAAATGCTACGCAGAGAAAAAGGAGGAGAAAGTTCACCTCTTGAAGACCGAAGAAAAGGCCGAGTCAACGCTTCTAATGACAACTCTACTACAAGGCGCAATGGAAACTCAAATCAAAGACGGAATGTGGCACTTAGACACAGGTGCCACAAATCACATGACTGGAGATCGTAATCTATTTGATGACCTCATTGTTACCAGAAACAGTGAAGAATGCATCTCAAAATTCAAAGAAAAAATGATGAAGCAATTCGAGATGTGTGATCTAGGTCCTCTTATCTATTTATCTCATAATTTAAGTAGAACAATTTGGAGATATGATCAATTTAAAGCAACAATGTTATGCTGTACAAATACTTGAACATTCTTGAATGCAAGAATGCAACCTCGACGTCACACCACTTGAAGCTCATTTCAAGTTCAGTAACGGAGACAAGAGTCAATTAGTTGATCCAACAAAATTCTGGAGCATAATTGGGAGCTTGAGGTATTTAGTTCACACTCGGCCTGATCTAACCTACTGGGTCATCTTAGTAGATATATGGAAGCACTTACCACAGAGCATATGGTGACATTGAAATGGATTCTTCAATATGTTAAAGGTACTGTGAATCTCGGATTACATTATAAGAAATAATTCGATTTCACTTTGACAAGATATAGTGATAGTGATCACATCGATGACACAGTCGACCGGAAAGCACAATTGAAGTTCTATTTTTTCTTGGATTAAGTCCGATAAGTTGAACTTCTTAGAAGTAGAAAATTGTCGCACTTTCTTCTTGTGAAGCCGAGTATGTAGCTGCTACGGCAGCAGCCTGCCAGAGAATCTGGTTGGCTAGGCTCATCGGAGAATTGAAGATAGAAAAACCCACTCAGGTGAAGTTGTTTATTGACAATAAATCGGTAATTGCATTATCAAAAAATCTAGAACATCACAGCGGATCGAAGCACATAAATACTCGATATCGTTTCATTTGTTCCTACCTCGAAGACAAGTCAATTGATGTTGAGCACATCAACTCTGCTGATCAATTAGCTGACTTACTCACGAAACCACTGGGAAGAACCCGTTTCAACGAGCTTCGTCAAAGACTAAGAATGGTTGAAGACGATGGAAATACTAGACTTAGAGGGGAGATTGATGGCGTTAAGCCTAGTCAAGAAATGGGAGCGTGAAGATCGCAGGAAATGGTGACACCCTAGCAGTTTCTCCTACGAGGACTATTTCAAAATTGTTTACCGTTTCTTAAGTTTTATTATTTTTAATCCTAACCGTCCATCTCTCCTGAGTTATAATGGTTAAGATGAAAGTTACGTGGAATCGTGGCCCCACGAATTGTAACTATCTTTAACGACCGTTACTTCCCCTCTCTCCTATAAATTGTACTCAACATGCATGATGAAATGTATGAAGTAGAGAAGTTGCTCTGTTTTCTTTGAAAACATCCGTGCTTTGATCCTTCCCCATTCTCTCTCCAGATCCTTTGATCTCAACATAATCGTCATCATCTTCTTTTTTTCCTCTGCCAGATGATGTACGAGGAGGCGAGCCAGGTGGCGGACGACGCCTTGGGGAGCATTCGGACGGTGGCTTCGTTCTCTGCGGAGGATAAGGTTATGGAGCTATATAAGAATAAGAGCGAGGGTCCGGTTAACGCGGGGTGGCAGGACCTGATCAGCGGCATCGGCTTTGGGATCTCTTTCTTCTGCTCTTCCACCTCCTACGCCACCACTTCTACGCCGGCGCCAAGTTCGTCGAAGACGGCAAGACCACCATCTTGGGCGTCTTCCAGGTGACCACCGATCCCAGCGGCGGCAGCGCCGAGCTCGAGGACCTGGCCGCTGATCTGACAGGCTCTTTTCTTTTTTACCCTCGATGCGGCAGGTGTTCGTCGCCCTAGTCTTGGCGGGGATCGGGCTCTCGCAGTCAAGCGGCATGGCTCCCGACTCGAGCAAGGCGAGGTCGGCCATCGCCTCCGTCTTCGCAATCCTCGACCGCAAGCCCAAGATCGAACCCAGCGATCTCTCCGGAAAGACGCCGGAGGTGAAGGGGAAAATCCCGTTCCGGCACGTCAGCGTCAGGTACCCCATGAGGCCCGAGGTTCAGATCTTCCAGGACCTCTGCCTGATCATCCACGCCGGCAAGGTATGCCCGCCGCCAGAATCCTAACATCAGGAAGAGGTGGATCTCTCCTCATTTCGACCGTCATAACCGAGGTGGTGCTTCTCTTCTCTTCGGCCTGTGCAGACGGTGGCGCTGGTGGGGGAGAGCGGCTGCGGGAAGTCGACGGCGATAGCGCTGCTGCACAGGTTTTACGACCCCGACTTGGGCCAGATCATGCTGGATGGAGAGGACATTTGGAGCTTCCAGCTGCGGTGGCTGCGGTGGCTGTGGCGGCAGATGGGCCTGGTAAGCCAGGAGCCCGTCCTCTTCAACGACTCCATACGCGCCAATATCGCCTACTGCAAGGACGGCGGTGCCTCCGAGGCAGAGATCGTCGCCGCTGCCGAGGCTGCCAACGCCCACAAGCTCATCAGCAGCCTCCAGCAGGTGGGTCCTCTTCCCTTCTTCCTCCTCCACCGCCTCCGGTGACGGCGCCGCTTCCTTCCTTTCCTTTCCTTCTCTGAAGACCCTCCGATCACGCGCAGGGGTACGAGAAGGTGGTCGGTGAGCAGGAAATCAACCTGTCGAGGGGGGGCAGAAGCAGAGGGTGGCCATCGCCCGGGCCATCGTGAAGGACCCGAGGATCGTGCTGCTGGACGCGGCCACCAGCGCCCTCGACGCCGAGTCGGAGCGAGTTGTCCAGGACGCGCTAGACCGGCTGATTGTCAACAGGACGACCGTCATCGTCGCCCACCGGCTATCCACCATCAAGGGCGCCGATCTCATCGCCATCGTCAAGAACGGGGCCTAGCGCGAGAAGGGCCGTCAACATTAAGGACGGGGACGGCTCCTACGCGTCCCTGGTGGCGCTACACTCTAGTGGCCCTTCCTAATTAACCCCCCAACAACCCCCCCCCACCTGTCCGGAGAAATTTTCCTGTTGACATGGATGCAATCTGTACATTAGAAGGTTCCAGGAAGAAGATAGGGCGGCAAGGACCGTCTTTCTCCAGAAGGAGAAAAAGGCAGAGGGGCTGTTGTCGTCAATGGCCGCCGGCGGGGGAGGCGCCGCCGCCGTCTTCCTCGCTCTGTTTGAGGATGGAACAGACGACCGGCCGGAAGATGTACGTCTCGAGCTCGCGGACATCTCGGAGAGCTAAAGTTCGAAGTTCCTCCGGTACCTGTGCTGCTTCCGGAAGGGGGATCCGGAGAACCATCTCCTCGGGCTCAAGAAACTACCCCCGGGAGAACCCGTGATCCAGCGGGGCTTGGGGACGACGGCGGCAACCTCAGTGAGGGCCATGGCTCTGCTTCTCACTAGACTCAGCGATGGGCCCTTCTTCATCTCCGACGGCAGCGGCTTCGGTGGGGATGTCGGGGTCTCCGGTGGCTTCTCTCTCTTGATTCTCTCTCTTGCTTTCTCGGCGGCGGCCAGCGCATTGTCCCTCCTCATCTTTATCAGCTTCCATGGGTCAATGCTGAAATCGAAGGTCCTCTCTGGATTGGTCCTTCCGTCTACCCTTATAACCGTCTTCGTCGACTTATGCTGGAACGTGCAGCGGCGTCTCTCTAGGTAATGGTTGAGTCAGCTTGTAACTATCAACATAAATTATCAATCATCACATTATTTAAATGAAGAAAACAGTCATAAATAGCGGAGCATTTCCATTGATTTTAGAGTGATTTCGGAACCCAAAATTGTTTCAGATTTCAGGTTATAAAGTCAGTTCGGTTACATAACTCTTGTTTGCTACTTATTGTGATTTGTAAGGTTAATGAATCTTTCTCTACTCAAAAGACAATAAAAACCTTGACTGATTGAAATTTAACAATAATAAAATTAAAAATAACTATTTATATTCATACTTGATGAATAAACTAATAGTTAATATCTATATGCTCGATTCCAAAATTATTGACGATATTATTTTCTTAATTTATGACACTCATATTATCACACATAAGGTCTTTCAGAATCCTTAAGCTAAAATTTAACATGTAGTACTCATGTGCAACATAACTTGGTAATTGTATAATCACAAAGCTCTTGGCAAGGCTACTGATTTTTATTTTTTTTTTGATGTCCATAAAATTAGACATCTTTTTAGGATTAAGCCTGACCCACTTGTGCTTTTTCTCTTAATTATGTTTCCAGTAAATCAATAGTGATGTATGCTATTAGACTCATGTCACACTACTTTGGAAACAAAACTCTTAAATGAAATGTACAAACAACATTTCTAAATTATTTTTTTTACAGCTGTCAATTGTGATTCTTTTGTATCACCTTGAGATCTAGTACAAAGCATCTGCTGAAAATTATGTCAAGTCTAGTTGTAGTCAACAAAAGGACTTATCATACCTCAATGTGTTTTCTCATCTATGGATTTTTCATTGTTATCAAGATTTTTATCTTCGTCTACGAAATGTTCTTATCTTTTCTATTTTTTTAAATTTCTCTTGTATTATTTTATTTTAGAGATGAATATTCCATCTTTCAATTTTTTGATTTGTTATCTAAGAAAATAACTAAGTTTTCCCATTATGCTCATCTGAAGTTCTTTCTTCATAATGTCTAAAACATAAATGCAAAAATTATCATCTGAAGAATTCAAAACTCTATTATCAGCATATACCAGAACTCACAAGAATGTCTTAATCTTTTCCTTTGGTAAATATGGTAGTGTATTAAATGTATTTTCTAGAAGAAAAGATGTTAATATTTCATACTATGCTCTTAAGTTTGTTTAAGACCATATAGTTATTTGGATAATTTTAGACATAATTCTGGTATCCTGAATTTATAACTCACATAACTTGACTCACATATACTTCTTAATTTCTCCCTCAAGGAATATAGTTTTTATGCCTATTTAATATACTTATTTTATGAGATACATTGAAACAAAATTTTAATTGCATCTAAGCTAGCCACTAGTGATTAGTGAATACATATGAACTATTATAGTCTAGCATTGTTTCTCACTAATTTAATTTTCAATATCCACTTAGTTCCTATGTAGTAAGGTCCAAATTTTTCTTTTCTCGAAATTGATTGAACTCCTCAATGACAGCTATAGTCTAACTTTCATGTTCTTAAGTTTTATGTCCATTTTTTGATTGAATTTCATAAATAAATGTAATCTTAATTTTTTATATTTTTTAACTTAGATCTGATTAAAACTCCTCACATATTTCCATTCTCTTAGGAGATTTTTCTTTTCTAAAATTTATTTTAATTTAGAAAGCTTAGCATCATCATTAATTGAAATTTTATGAAATCTATTCTCCAACCTATTCTAACCTCTATAGAGATTTATTATTCCTTTTCCTCAACAAAATTCAACAAGTTTCAAATTTATTATTCCCTCAACCACAAAAGTTCTTTTATTATACACTCTAAACATTGTAGAATTTTCCTATATCATTAAAGAACTTCCATCACACATGGGGTTCAATTTTCCTCTTTCCTATTTACCATTTGATAATTCTCTGAATTATATTATTAACATGTCATTTTTTTCTCTGTTTATACTTTTTTTGTTAAAAATTACACATTTGATATAATTTCAGAAAAAACAAAGCTTCGTGCATTTACATTGATTTATTGATATTCCTTTGAAAATAAAAAAATAAATGTGATCACGAGTTATGATGGGTAAACAAGAAAGTTTAGATTTTAACATTCCAAAATGATATGAATTTATTTCTAATTTTTCTGTAATTTCTGGGTTTTTTCTGGACTTTAAGGAATTGTTTGAATTTTACTTTTTTTGATGTGTTTGTCGGTTGATTATGATAATAATAATAATAATAATAATAATGAAGTAAGAAAAAGTAAGGGAGGACCTACTAGCAAGCTGGCACTCAATAGTTGTCCCTATGACTAGAGGGGACTGCTCAAATTGGTGACATGCATTGATCAAAAAGACCTTGTTTTCAAATTTATTTATTTTAAATGTTTCATTCTTCTCATTTTCTTTGGTGGTATACAAGGAAATGAGAGATCTTCAATATTTGGTCCTAGTTTTGATCATAACAAATTTAATTAACATTTTGATGGTAATTACTTGTAGTTTCTTCTCATCCTTGAGTGACACAAGGAAGGAAAAGATTTTCATTTGAAGTTAGAAGATTTAATCAAGATTTAATGTATTAATTAAAAGCTTTCTAAGTTTTGTAGGATTGTGCTACAAAATGATAATGGAATCTGATTTTAGTTTTAGAATGTAGTTTTTATCACTAATTTAATTATTTTAGTTTGTCCTTGATTGACAACTAAGGTATGTCTTCATTAAATTTATTTAATTTTATTTTACACCTTTATTTTACATATTTTGAAGTTATTTTTGATCTAGTCTTGATATAGCAATCCATCTTTTGTCATAGCCTGAAAATAGTTAGGCAAGTTATTTTTGGTTAGCATTGTTGTAAGAAAAACATTCAATGTTCTATTTTTCCTCTTGGCAACTCTGTTTTGTTGAGGGGTCTCACAATATAAAACTTATAAGAAGTTCCTTGATGAACACAATGTTTTTGATTTTATATTTTCAAATTCTCTACCATGTTCATTTCTATTTGTCTTTGTCGTCTTAATTCTCAACTCTAATTCTTTCTCTTCTTTCTTGCTAATTTTTTATTTTTTTAAAGAGTATCATCTTTGTTTTCTAAGAAAAATACTTTTGTCAATCTGAAGTAATCATTGACAATTACAAACCTATATCTTTTTCTCCTGAAACTTGACACCTTAGATGGTCTAAAAAGGTCCTTGTCTAATATTTCTAAGGGTCACATAGTTGTGAGCATATCTTTAAGATTCACATGGTTTGATTCTAATTTTCCTCTAATGTATATGTCATAATCATCATCCTCATCTAGTTCTATGGCTAGCATTCCTTCAACCAGTCCTAGTTAGGTGTTGGCTTGCACTTGATCAAGACGGTGGTGGGTGGGAGGATTGAACTGATCTTGTTGTCTTTGAGTTTGGCCTCTCTTTAAGTATTGACTAACCTTATGATTTCTATTTTTATTCACCTCTAAGACCCTAACATTTTATAGGGGTGAGTCGAGAATAGGATGATCTTGTGAGAGATGAGTGGCCACCTAATAACTCTCAGCAGTTACATGATAAAATAGTTAATATTTTATAATTTTCTAGAAATATTTTTAAATTAATTTAATTTAGAAAAATGATCTTAAACTATCAATATGTTTTTATTGTTAACTTCAAGAAATTACATATTTAAATTGACCATGAAATATGTTATATTTTAAGAATTCTTATTATTATTAGAATGCTTTTGAATTAATTGTATTTTTCCTGATTTTTTTTATAATATTTATTGAATTTTTATGATTTCTTATGATAATTTATAATAAAATAATATATAAATATAAGACATTTCTTTTTTTAGGTTTTCCACATTAGGGACACATGTAACAAATATGACAAGAAATAGGATGAATGATTCCATGAAATTGATTGAATTGATGCACAAGAAGATAAAAAAAACATATGAAGGGGAACAATCATATATCTTTGATCAATTTATTGCTCTCTACAACCATATTCTCTCTTCTTAATGGTGACAAATGTCAAATTCACCCGAATCATCCATCTGATGCAAATAATGAATTTATTCTTGATTCCTCCCTAATTCAGCAGCTACGGAAGTAACTTCATTTACAAAACTTGTTTCATTCTTTAGTCAATACAAATAACGAAGATTTTTTCTAATGATCCTTCTTCGAATGTTGTGGCATGATTTGAGTCAAACTACCATTGTTGATTGATTTCACCAAGTGATCTTTGTTGAGATCGTCATTTATTGACAATAAATCATGTAAGAATCTAATTTGTGTAAAATACCTACTCAAATCAATTGAATTCGGATGAAAATTTGGTTGATGACCCTCACTATCCATTCTTCTACCAGAAATTTATAGTTTTAAAATTGAAGTTTAATTTGAAGTATTTTGGCATTGATTTTGAAAAATACAAGTCAACATATTTTTGGTGACTCAAATTCTATAATGTTCTTCATAGGCTGATGTCTACTAATGTTATAATCCCTAATTTAATATTTCTTTAGTTTTTCTATTAATTTTATAAATAAAAGTTCTAAAAAATTAATCTATCATTTATAAATCATAAATATAACTTACTAATTTTTTTCTTACTTAATCCCTATTTAAAATTTAATTGGCATATTTTCCAACATTAATAATTTTAAATTTGTTTAATTTTCTCCACAATGATAGAAAATATTCAATTAACTTTTGACAACATGTCGAGGGAAGATTGCTAAAAATTAGTGTTATTTAGGAGCCATGTGATAGATAAAAAGGTAGATATTTATAAAAAAAACTATGATAGTTGTCTTTACTTATTTCTTTATAGTTATTATTATTTTATTAGTTTTATTGTTTGCTATAATTTTTGTTGGTGCATACTATGTAAGGGAATCATTAAACCCAAGGCTCGAATTTTCTAAAATCAGAAAGAAAAAGTTTTCTACTAGAAAATTTAAAAATATGGATCTTGAAAATACGAATCATGAAAATGATAATCAACCACTTAGATTATTGAAGGATAACTTCACCCCATATCCATGTGAAGACCTCTTACAAAGCCATGTTAGAGCCAATGAAATTAAACATAGCGTCTTTCAAATGTTAGTTACTTTTTATGGCTGTCAACATGAAAATTCTTATACTCATCTTAAATAATGTCAACGAATTTGTGTTAAAATTAATGGGATTATATGAGATTAATTTTATTTCTATTTTTTGTGAAGGATGAAGGTAGTTATTAGTTTTCTACTTTAGATAGATACAATAAAACATGGGCTAGATTGTTGCAAGATTTTTTGAATATATTTTATTCTAGACGAAAAATCAAATCGATAAGGAAGGAAATTTTACATTTTTACAAAATGCAAGATAATTTTTCATGAGGCATGGTATAGAATGAAAGATTTTATGAAAAATGTCTATATCATGATATTCCTGAAAGTCAAATTGTTGAAATATCTTCTAAAAGAGAAGAGAAAGGAGAAGATAGAGAGGAAAGAAAAAAAAAAGGATAGGCTTATTTATAAAGAATAGAAGGATTTTTAGAGGAAGAGAGAGAGCGAAGGAGAGATCTCTCACGAAAGAGAGACAAAGAGACGGGGAAAGAGATCTCACAAGAGGGGGAGAGAGAGGGAGAAATCTCACAAGAGAAAGGAAGGGTGAGAGAAAGAGAGAGAATTAATATGATAATATAGTGAGAGAGAAAACTGGTCAACTTTTTGTTATAGTGATCACGATTCTTGGATGAATGTATTTAAGAGTTCACACATGACATGAGGTTAAGTGTGAACAACTCCACCTTATTTTAACACATCAATGTTCATTGATTAGCCTTTAATCTTTTCTAACTTTGTATTTAAAATTAGAAAAATAGTTGTGCTATTTGCAGAATGCTGGGAACACAAATATTTGAGATTCAATTACAAAAACTAATAAAAAGATAAGTTAAATATAATCTCAACTTGATATCAAATAAGTTTCATAAGACTTTAGAAGAGGAACAAAAATCATTCATCAATTTTTGAATTAGTTCTACCATGTGTAAAGTAAAAAAAGGAATTCTCCAATGTTAGTTTGTCTCTTTGGAAAGTAGAGATACTAGTGTGGCCTATCAAGAGATCATAAAAATGATAAAGATTATGTTTAATAATTTTAATAATCATGACTCAAAGCACTGATATTAATTCAGATTTAATAGAAAATTCCAAAAAAATAGATCTTATAATATTAAAAAATACAAAAAAATTTAAAATCAAGAAAATACTTTTATCATATTAAAAATCATTATAAAAAATAGAAATCATAATGTATGCATGAAATTATTTTTAAGTAAAATAAGTAAGTAAATAAATATATAACATCCTACAAAAAAAATAGAGAATTCAAAAAATTAAGCATGTATTTAGAACATTCGTCATAAATTATACTTCACTTATTTTATGCATAGTTAAATGTCATTTTTTATGAAATTAAGTATTAATTGTAAAAATAATGAATAGTTAAACTTACATAATTTGCATAATATCACTCCCCCCAACTTGAATCATTACTAATCCTTGAGCAATGGAAATGTAAATAATTTATGATTCAAAATGATTCAAAGATTCATGGGTTAAACATCTATCAAAACTTATATGAATGATCCTTCTCAATGATCCCAAGGTCTATACTAAGCTATAAGTACAATGGCTATACGAATGACACATGGAGTAGAGCATGTGTCACACTTTGTCTACATAGGCTATAAGTACAATGGCTATAACATATTGGTGGCTATTTTTTCCTGTAGGCATATAGATGTGGGTCTTCTTGAATAACTATGACTAGAGAAATGCCTTGGTGTCTCACAATGCACTCCTTGTGTGTTCTTCAGGCTCTACCTTTTTACATCATTCTTAAGAACAGTGTTTCACATACTCACAATGAGAGAGAAACTTTGATGTCTCACATCGTGCTCCTTGTTTATTTCTTTAAGTTCACACTTTACTCTCTACTTTGTCTTTTTCTTTTTCTTTTATAAAGTGTCACTTATCTTCTCATGTGTTGTCTAAAATAGTAAAGCAACTTATTTCTCCAAAGAGGTTTTATATCCCTCTATGGCTTAGGGGGCTTCACTCTATCATAAATATTAGTTGCCAAAAATGGTGACACAAGCTCATTACATGCCAAAAAATGATTTTCATGCAAGGCTTAATCAACACTAACTCAAGAGAGGTGAACAAGTAGGTTGACAATTTATAAGAATCAAGGAGGGTTTGAAAAAGTATGTGTTATGAGATTGAGGTATGTGCTTAGATCTAATTCAATGCTCTAAATTCACCATATAAAAAAAACTTAAACCCTTAGCTTGATTAGAACATTGAATGATTATTCACTTTCACTCTTCTATGATCAACCCATGGTTCTTTTAATGCACAAGGTTTCTTGATTACATAATAAAGATTAAAGCTCTTGGACATGATAATTCTGACTATTTTCATATGATAATCAGCATGTTATCAGTCAATATTATTTTAATTTTTTAGATAGTTACTTAGGGTATATCTCTAGATGATCAAGAGAAGACAACATTTACTTGCCCAACGTTCACTATAATACCTTTTGAGCTGTGTAATGCACTAGCCACCTTCCAATAGTGTATGAATGTCATATTCTCCACATTAGTAGAAGATTGTTTAAAGACATCCACAAATGATTTCTCTATTTTTGGTTAAAATTTTGATGAGTACTTGATCAATTTAACTAAAGTGTTGCAGATTTATGCAGAGAAGTTAGTTTTGAGTTGGAAAAAATCCCATCTCATGGTCATCAAAGGTGTGGTGTTGGGTCACTTGGTTAGTTAGTGAGGATTAGAGGTCAACAAGATAAAACTCGAGGTGATACAAAACCTTCATCTTCCCACTCCTAGGTCACACAAGCTTTTATTGATGATTTATTGAAGGCTTTACTAATCTTGCTAAACTACTAACTCAACTCTTAGCTAAGGAGTAGAATTTTGTCATAGATGTTTGCAAGGCAATTGACCTTCCTCAAAATTAAGTAAGCTCTAAGAATTGGAAGGTATTCCATGCTAACATTCATCTTCAATAAAGCTTAGTTATTCATTAAGCACTTGTCTAATTTTTGGTAAATCCTATTATCAACTTTGGCCCCATTCCACCAAACCATTGATTATCATCATGCTTGGGTTCTATAAGTTCTAGTACTCGTATAACATCATTAAATGCATTCATGGTAAGTATATTTGTTGTTCCTCTCTTCTCTATTGAGGTTCTAATTGTGTTGAAATCTCCACTGATTATCCATGGGATTTGGACCACTTGTGCATAATCCATCAAAAAATCACACAACTCTTGTCTTTTGTCCAGTACATAAGAAGCATATACAACATTGAGTATAATTTTTTCCTCTCCATTTGAAGTTTCAAAAGTTGAGCATTGTTGTAGATCTATAATGTAGTTGACATTTAATGTATCAAATCCATAAAGCCTAAAATTTTCCTTTACTATTAGCCCACACATGCTCCATATGAAGGTCTCTCATGATTATTTCAGTTTTTGAGTTGTCTACTAATAGTTCCATGACTCCTATTAACTGTATGCTATGTTGTGCTGTCAATTTCTTAATTTGTGCTTTTGTAGTTAAGTTACCTACCCCTTTACAATTCCATATTAGTATGTTACACATCCATATTAACTTTAGTGCTTGTCTCTTTCTATGAAGATAATTCAATCATTTCTGTTCAATATCAGCTTCTCACCCTTATGTTGCCTTGAATGGTATTTACCTCCAATGGAGGCTCCATTTCAAAATAATCCAATTCCCCTTGGTGCCTCGTGTTGTGCCACAATTACAAATTACAATTCAGTCAGTTGTTGAGGACGTTTCTACATGCTAAAAATTAGGTGATGCAACCATCTTATTTTTTAAGTTGGTTACTTTTGGGTTCTCCTCTACTTGTTTATTTGCTTAATCTTGAAGTGGTGATCACACCTAACCCAAGGTTTGTCCATCTCACTCAGACCAGCCACTTTAATGCATAGTCAAGTATGCCAAGGGAGTTGTAATGCAGAGACATGTGAGCCTTCAATGAGATGACATTGGGTCCAACTTGCATTTAAAGATTTAATGTCATTGCAATTTACAATACACATCACATGTCCTATTTTTTTATGTTTTTCTTTAATGAGAGTACTAAGATATAAAATTTAGGAGTCATGTAAAGTGTTTGATTATGCGGATGTGAGACAATGATCTTTTTGGAGGTTCACTTAGATAAACCTTGTTACAAGTCATTATTCTTCAAAATGATGATGTTCAACAAACTTCATGTGATGTTTATAGTGAGGGAATACCCATGGAACTACAATGAGAACACTTAATTGAACCATTTAGTTAACTCTACTTGGAATTCCTTATTGAACATCAAATGTTACAATGATCTATCCCTATCACAATGAAAATTAGCTCCACTGTCAACCAAAGGTATGGACTTATTGAATACATTAGTATGACTCACTCTGGGTAGAGAACATTTAAGGAAATCATAAATATATTATTGTCTTATATTTCTTCGGCTTGAATAACCATACTCCCTATAGGATGCTAGCTACAAAGGGTTGTCTCAACTTGGTTCATTAACAAGCTGAGGTCACATTCATTAATAAATTAACCACACAAATCACTCCACTAACTAAAACGACTATGCATCATCATTTATAGATCAAGAAAATACTCTCAATTTGTCAATACTTTTTATGTCAATTAGATATATATCCTAGTCTTAACCATAAAATTATGCTAACTAGGGATTAGGAAAAGTTTATCTTGAATTTCCATCAACAATGAGAAATCAGCCTTTTGGTTCTGGAGGAAGTATGTATGCAAGGCTAAATCTAAGATTGTTTAACTATAAATTTGAAATACAAATGTCCCTAGTAGTCCCTCTTAATCGTGACTCCTTTGAAGGTAAAAATAGCAGGGCATGGACCCTAGCCCCACCATCGGTGACCACGACATCAAGGCTACTCCACGTTGCTGCCAGCTTTTATTTCTATTAGGAGTTACTCGTTTTTTGATTTCCTTTTATTTACTTTAGGTTGTAATCCTCTCTCTCCTCCCGAGGCCTATAAATACGCCTACGGTTTCTATTGAACATGGCTTTTGATCTTCATAAGACTTTTCTTATACGAGAGATCGTGCTCTAAGGGTTCCGTGTGACCGCCGCTGCCTGTAGCCGCTGCCATCGCGTGTGTCCCCCTCCCCCCCCTTCTACCTTCTAGTCAACCCTCTTTGTCTCACTGGTGGGTCTCTCTGTCAGCATTCGTGTGCCCGGCATCGTGCCGATCAGCGTCTCTCGGAGCGCCAGCAACGCCCCACGTACGAGCCTTCCGCGGGCGCTCACGTGTCCCGTGCATCCTCTAGCGGACGCACCACTGCGACTCGCCCTGTGCACCAACCTTCCGCCCTGCACGTCGACCGCGCACACCCTGCGCGCCTTGCTCCGTCCAACATCGGATTTAGGTTTCGAGGTGCTGTCCCAAACCCCGGAAGGGGGCGGCTTCCTCCCTTGCCCCCCCCCCGCCAACTAACCGCGACGGGCTTATCCTCTTTTGATCTGCCGTTGACGTCAACATTGTGGCGTGCAAATGCCGAAGGTCCCCTCTCAACCCTCTCTGGTGGTCGTGTGTTTTGATTTCATCCTGTCTTTCCTCATACGTGTTTTCACCGCCATTGGATTTAGCCGTGTGGGCTCGAGACTAGTCGAGTGGGCTGCGATTTCCTTGTTTGTTCGCCAACTAAGATTTTGAAATGTGGAGCTTTATTTTATCACGGTAACTTGAGACAGTCTTTCCGCCCTCGATTGAGGAACGGAACCGTCTTCTCACCTCATCACAGTCGGTTTTCAAAGGTTCAGATCCGATCTTGTGCGAGTTTCGTGGCATGTTTTTTGTCCATTGTGTTCCCTACCCATTTCATCCGCATGAGTCATATTCATCTTGCATCAAAAAATCATTAACCCTCTTTATCATGGTACTGTATGCAGAACCTATGGTTGTTTTGAGCACTTTAGTTCCTTCGAAGTAACAATGTCAAAGGCAAAACAGGCTTGGTCGAGAGTGGGAACACATCACTAGCAAGAGTCATGGAATCGCTAGTGCACACTCCAAGGCAGACTACCTAGCCCAACCTAATATTCAACTATGAGCCTTTTAACTACACCTTATGTCAGAATTATCAAATTCTGATATAATTAACATGGCCACTTGAACTAATCTTGCCCGCCAATGGATGGTCTTTAAGAGATTTAGGTTGAGCTCATTCTAAGTACCAAACTAGAAGAGCTTAGTAATGTCAATTATTGTCACCAATTACTTAGGTCAAAATCCAGCGCAGCTACGCAGCAGGATGTTATCAGCGAAACTAAAGATCAAACGGGACATGTTGCAAGTTCGTGAATCGATCTCCACAAATCCAGCGCTGGACATAAAGGCCCACTTGAGCAGGCTTTCTTTTTAATGCCCCGGCGAATATTATGTATCTAAACTCCATTAAGGTAAAATGCACAAGCTATTTCTCCGAAGGACATCGTCCCCGTCGGCCAGTAAACCCATAATCTCTGTAACGATGAACACAAAATCTACAATTTTGAATGCTGCTGCGGAATGTCGAAGGACGGAAAATAGGAGAGGGAGAGGTTGGCAACAGGATCTCCGCCTTCGAGAGGCCTATGTCCGGATGGCCTTGTGTTACCCCTCTTCCCTCTTGTGCCTATTTGAGCCATGGCGGAGCATGATTACTGAGCCCGACGGAGGGTGATCATGTTAAATTACCCTCTGCCCGATAGGTCCAGGAAGAGGCAGGAGTGGACTCAATACTGTCGGTGCGAATACGACCGGACAGGCCGGACGGACAGTGGAAGGATCCGATGGCTGTCCCAGACAGTTCGAATCAGGCCGTTGGGCGGAGTCAGGGTCCGCACCCATGGGATCTGGTCGTTAGGAGACTAACGATCTCGTATTGGCGACCTCGAGACCACCTGGGAGGTCTCGGTTTCTTCCTTGTCTTTCCCATTTTTTCCCTTCTTCTCTACCCGATCCCAGTTGTGTACCACCTCTCCTCCCCATCTACGAGGAGTATTAACAAGTAATCTAGGCAGCTGAGCCATCTTTTCTTGTCTACGTGCTCTCCAAGAAAAAAGGGGGTTCATCAGATCATTCCTTGATCGGCCGTGGATTGGGGACGGGGTCAGAGTCCTGATGGACCCAACGAAGCGGAGAGGAGCGGCATAGCGGGACCTGCCTTTTTCAGTCTTCTTTTCTGCGTCCCTCTCTCGCATTTCTTCCGCTCTCTTCCTCTGCCCTGGGAAGTGTCCGACGGGAGGGTGCGTGGTTCGACCCAAGTTCTCAATCTCTTCCTCCGTGCCCCACTCTTTCATCCAGCGACCTGGTCTTTCCTCCTCAAGCCGTGGCTGGAGCTTCCTCAGCACCTATAACATCATTTCCTACAGCGTCAACATCAGCTTTTTCGTGTGGCGCGGGTAAGGGGCTCAGAAGAACAGGGGATAAAATATCGGGGAGGAGATGGCGGAGAGATTGGCGCCAGAGAAACGCCACAGCTTCGTGCATGAAGGTATGATTTAGCGCAGATTCGCATTTATTTTGCCTTTCTTTCCCGAATTTTCCGTTCTGATGATCCGTGATGGAGAGGAGCATCCTCATTCCATGATGACCCGAATCGAATGGAATTGCGACCTGCTTAGATCTATAACCTTGGAGGGCTTGAGCAGGAAAGAAGGTTTTCGAGTGGGACCAGACCCTAGAGGAAGTGAACATGTATATCCCCCTCCCTCCAGGCAACATACCCACCAAGTTGTTCTACTGCAAAATCCAGCCCCAGCACATCGTCGTCGGCATCCGCGGCAGCGACCACCCCTTCCTCGACGTATGCTCCCCCTACCTCGTCTTTATTATCAATTGCTGAGTCTTTATCAGGAAACAAAAATGAACTTTATATTACTCTTCACTTGTTCTGCAGCATGGTCTGACCGCTCCAGTAAAGACTGACTCCTCATTCTGGACGCTAGGTGCGTATTCTTCGTCTCGACTTTATTCAACAAAACGTCTCACCTCCTCGGGCGTTTTACAGCTCTACGTTTCTGGTCTCACGACAAATTGGGCGTCTTACAGCTCTGAATGCACTTGTTATGGGTGTCGTTGTATGCAGAAGACGGTACGATGCACGTGTCCCTACATAAGAGGGACAAGGGGCAGGCATGGTCATCTCCGATACATGGTCAAGGACTGCTGGACCCATACTTGGCCGATCTAGAGCAAAAGCGCCTCATGCTGCAGAGGTTCCAAGAGGAGGTGCGTTACTTATTCATCTCTTCGCCCCCTCATAAAGTCCCACAATCCTCAGCTAATGTTTTTTCCGGTTTTTTATTGCCTCAGAGAAACCGAAGTTCCCACTGTTGTGTAACAAAAATTCAGACCTGTTACTTCTAATGTGTTGTTTTTTCATCCTCAATAGCTTTCTTAGAATAGTGACAATTCTATATTGTCAAACTGGTAACCATCTATCTAGTGTTAGTCCAGTACGTTGATTTCCGCGACCCAGGAGTTGAGAAACGTAGCTGTGAAACGTGGGTGTGGGGCTCGGTCCATATAGCTACTTAATTTGCAGTCAATGTGGTTGCTCTAAAAGGTATGATTTACGGGAATGAGGATACCATAATTTTACCCAGATATAGTTGAAAATGGGTCATATGAGTAGACTTTATGATGACTTTTTTATCTTCTTCCTGGGAATGCTTGAGTGGAAAACAAAAATGGCATATAAAAACATGTTTCCAATGAAAGAGGCAAAGTTATACAGGGGTTCTTTTCTTTATTGGGGAGTACTAGTGTGAGGTGGACTGGGGAAAAGGCCACTATGTGATGTGGGGAGCCTTGGATATGGAGAAAAAAGATACAGAAATTGTATGGTTAGGGTTAGGTGGCATTGGAAAGGCTGTAAGCATGATAGCGTAAGTAAGGTAGCCATAGGAAGAGAATATAGGACAAAAGAACAATTGCTGAATGATCAAAGATACGAAGGAAATTCTATGTTAGTTCCCGTAGAGTAAACATTTACCATCATAAAATTAGTGGGGAAGCTTTCTGAGAGATTTCTATTACTATTGATATTTGCTATTTCGGGCGCATATTCCATTCTTTCTGTTTTATGAGAGTGGATTTGTTAACCTTTAAAAAATATGACATCTGAGGGAGACCCAAATAAAAAATTCAGTCATCTTCAATGTGACAAGTCTGAATAGGATTTTGAGAATCTGTTGCGAAAGAAATCTGGCAGAGGTTGTGGATGATTAAAATAAGATGCCAGATTTATCAACCGGCCTTTTTAAAGGACTTCTTTCGTGAAGTAGAAATGCAAATCTTATGCATGATGAAAGGATGCTACAAAAAATGAACACCAACCTGATGATCAATACAATTCATTTGCCATATATGCTATTTTATGTGAGGATTCAATTAATCTCCTGTCTGGACTGGCTATCTACACATTTCTACTAACGTTTGGATGAGATTTTAAAGCTACTGTTGCTAGTCTTAGTCTTCTGAGAAAATCAACTTTTCAAAGAAGAGCTGAGCCAATATCAGATTTCGGGGATTGTAAAATTAATTAGAAGAGTGACCCTTTGGATGAAAGATTTCTATGCAATTTAGTCTACCACAACCAAGATGTTAGTTGTAATTTTTTTTATATTTTTGCAAACAGATATGTTATTTATTCTGTTGTTAAGATACTTGAGATAATTTATCCTTCTATAGCTATTTTGACCTGAAGATGCTTTGGATGAACATGTAGAAATTTGAATATAGGGTAAAGACAGTATGTATCTCATTGGATGAAGCTGATTATATAAGTTTCAAGGATAAAACCTTTTTAAGGAGTCTTTAGTGTGAAACCCACTCAACAAGCTTATTGGATTAACGCATAAACAATGAACTCTATAAGTTTCTTTGATAAATTCCTTTCAAAGTTGGCCATGATGTCATTCTGCAATTCTGAGGTGTAAAAAAGGAACAAAAAATTTCCTTTCGCAGTGTTCCATGTGATGAAGCTCAAATAGGCAAGTTTATAGGATTCAGCCTATTTATTAGTCTATATGATGCCAGGGCTCTTGACAACTTTCAAGACTTGGGTATGTTTTGAAAAGTTGTGGAATAAAACATATTTATTGTATTTAAAAATGAGACCCATTTCACAGATTTATGGGTTTAAGCCAACTTGAATACATCTTTGAGATGGGCCTATTGGGAAATTTGTGCCTCAAACCCTCCTCAGTATGTCTTTTAAGTGAGGCATATTTAGGCATGTCTATTAAATGCAACCCATTGACAAGATGAAACACATTAAGATATGTGTATGCTGTGTGGCTTAACGTTCATCAGGCTAGCCTGTTTTTACATGGGCGAGAGGCACATTCGATGAGACAAGGCTGAACATAGCGTCTGCACAGGGTCATGCAACCCCATTAATATTCTTCTTGGACATGAGGTCTACATTATATTCGTTTGCTTATTAATATGGATTTAACCTACATCAAGGTCAGCATCAGAGCAGATAAGGTACTAGAAAAAAGGTTCAGATTTAGCCATACACTATATTCTTATGGGCCTAGGTCATTACAGATGAGATCGGCAAGCCCATCAACAATGTGTTTTTTCAGAGCATTTCGTATTAAATCTAAAAGCTTATGAATAATGGACTGGACCATTAGATATAGGTTCCACATTAGATTAAATGTGACCCTTGACATCACTCCCATATTAGATCATCACAAGCCATTTAAAACAAGGTCTACATTATTGGGATTAAACCTGGATTGAGCATTGGCTGCTTAGGCTTCTTGAAATGAACTTGATGTTCACCTCTTTCCTTATCTTCCTTTCATTCTCCTTGCATTACCATCATGTCCCATTCCCTTTTCTCTTCTATGCCCTTCTCTCTTCCGTTATTCTCTCCCTCATCCCAATTTCTTGGGTGAATGGTTAATTCATATTGAACCCAACTCATATAAAGGACAATCGTGTCTTTGATAATATAAACATTTTCACTTTTCCTCAGTAACGTTTGCAGAAAAAAGGAAAACATTTGGTCTTTCTGTTGTTTCTTATGTTTCTCTCATCTAATGAATGCATGGAATTTGCATCTTCAACTGTCACTCCCACAAACTTTAGTCCGAGGCCCTCTTTCGAAATGGAGATCCACTGTCTTTCTCGATGTTACTGCTGCCTCCAAGAAGACCCAGGCTCTAGGCTCCCTCTAGGCTCTAGGATTTCAACGAAGTGATTACAACGTCATATTGTATGAATTAAAACCTACAGCGAATCATCTCTACCCAATAGCTAGGGCGAACAGAAAATGTTTAGCTCCCTCGTTTGGGAGAGTTTCTCATTTGTGGAGAAGATCTCTGTTGAGTTTGCTTGTTCTCCACCTTATGTAAGGTAGATTTCTCCTAGCTAATTTTCCTGTGGCAAATGAGGCAATTCACTATAAGGACAACAAGAATGTATGGTTAGCCCTTCAAGGGATATTTGAACGTGGTTGACATTTGTGGAGCTATAATTGTAGGATTATTTTCTGGGTGATGTCTAAGAGAAATGGATGAAGTTGAAAATAGAGTGCCTTCAAAAGCTGTTGTAAACTAAAATCTTTTTTTCTTTCACCTTCTTTCCAACAGAACTTAAATTTATTATCTTTTGTTCTTTGGAGGACTCGAAGCAATTTAAAATATGTTGGAAGGCATTGGTGGGTTCATCTTAAAAGTGTATAAGGACGAGTATGTAGGATGAAGCATACGTTGAAACGCGTCCATTTGTGAATTTATTGGACACGAGGTTTATTTTCCAAGTTGACCAAACCTATTTAGGATATATCTCCCGTTTATGAGCCGGTTAGGTGATGCCTGTTTGATGAGTAAATAAATTTATGAGTTTATTGGATGGCATTTACTTAGGAAGGTTATGTCGTGACACACAGTTGACAAGCTTACAGGATGAAGGTCATGTGGTGAGGTGGGATGAAAGCCCATTCGGCAACGTCATGAGATGAGACTCATCCCATCTGAGGTTTCAGCGGCAAACCCTCATGAATATGAAAGGCAGCCCGTTTTCATCATTGTAAAATGAGGTTCATTTTCTAATATTAGGCATATGGGCATTGTAAAAGTCTTTGACAGCGATTTGGGTTGGGTTCGACCACCGGACACTAAAAGCCTTCAAAATTTTTCAGTTCGCCCTAGCTATTGGGTAGAGATGATTCGCTGTAGGTTTTAATTCATACAATATGACGTTGTAATCACTTCGTTGAATCCTGCATCAGGCGTTATTGTGTTGACCATTCAGTCTTTGTGCTAGAGACTGGAGGGAGCCTAGAGCCTAGGACTTCTTGGAGTCTCCTTGTTTTTGGCATCTCCATCTCGGGGGAGTGTTGGACTTCCTTTTACAGGCGTCACTGTGTATCTGAGGAATAAAACCTCCCTAGGTTGGGCATTTTCAGTCCTCAAGCCATGCCTCCGACAATTCAGATTGGGGACGGAATAACCGGGATTGTATAAGAGATGACTGTTGCTTTCAAACTTTTTTTCTTTGTTTTTTTTGTTGTTGAAGGTTAAATAGGTCACTGTTCTTCACCTTCCCCAAGTGATCATTGGGAGTTGCCTTTGAGAAGGAGAGGTTCCAGTGGTTCCCATCCATTTTCTGGGCGTTTCAGAGCATCTTCCTCCACTTTTAGTTGTTCTATTCATCCCCTGAGTTGGGCGGCAGTCGGAGCAAGAAGAATGGCCAGCCCCTCATCAGTCCCGCCTTCCTCTTCTTTTTCTGCTTCTAATGCTGCCGGTGCTCTTTCGTCTTCTTCATCTAACGACGGCCAGCGAGCGATGATATCCTCCAGATGTTCGGTCTCTCCTACATGTAGTATTAAAGGGCTTTGGTTGCTGACAGATGGTGATAAAATCATTGATCTCCCGTGTCATTCAGCCTCACTGTTCCTTCATTCCCTCCTATCTTTCTTACCCTTTTACTTTATTATGTTGATGGGTCCTCAGTTCGGGGGTCGTAAAAAGAAGCACGCAAATATATGATGGGTCTCTTGGTGGGATTTAGATGCGGAAAGCGGGCAAGTAAAGGCTTCCAACATGGATTCAAGCCTACGCCGCCGAGTTCAATCGAGTCGAATCTTCAAGTTGATAGCAGCATCTTGCCTTCCTGTCGGGGTCTGCCATGCTAATGCTTCCGTTGCCCTTTTGCCTGCAGAATCCGGGCTTCGACTTTTCCCAGGCGCAGTTCACCGGAAACTGTCCCGATCCGAGGACCTTCATGGGCGGAATTCGTTCAGAATGAAGGACATTTATTTACTTGTAAACAAAGCAACATTTTGCTCGGCGGCGACGGGGGACGATGATGATACAGAGAAGCGGTGGCGATGCCCGAGTCTTATTGGCTGTCCGTCATCCTTCTCTGTTGTATTGTTGTTACGTGCATTCTACGTCTTGTGTTCCGGCGGCTCTGAAGCGATTCTCTGCTCATGGGACCGGTATTATTAATCTTGATGGGTCCAATTATCTGCCTTGTGTGAGTCTGGCCGCAGGGAGTACGCCGCCTCCACGCCTCCTGCTGCTGCTGCTGCTGCTGCGGCCCGAGCTTGTGGTACTGGTTGAATCCGTCGAAGAGATTGCAACATCGGCCAACCAAATGGTTCTCTACGCTTCGAAGCCGGGGGTGGTCAATTGCTTATGCTCTCTGCCCCTCCCCGCGGATGGAGGGACATCTTCCTTGTGCTGTAGGCCCCCAGCGGGTCCCTCTTGCTGAGGGGAGGTGTGATGAGTGGTGAGAGCGGACAGCTCTCCGTCTTTGGCGGTCCACGAAATAAACAATGCCAGTGCAGCGGCATCGGCAGCAGTGGCGGCAAGAATAATCGTAATCGCGGAGCGAAGGTGGATGGATAAATGTGTGAGGAGGAAGACCCACCACACACCTTGCTTGCGATCCGTCCTTCGCTCAATCTACGGAGGTAGAAAGAGACGGACGGATGGATGGATTGATAGCTATGTTATGGGAGGAGATCGGCCAGCAGTTCTGCGCCACGAAAGGCCTTCCCTCTCTCTCTCTCTCTCTATTCCTGTACAGCAAGGACAGACTCCAAGGCAACGCGCAGATAATAGGACGCACTTTGGCGCTGGCATCATCTCTTCAGAGTTTCTTCAGCACATGCTCCCAGTCGCTTCCTCGGAGAAGCGGAAGGGAGGATAGTGTTGGGGTGGGGCAGCTTGTATCTCCCTCATCTGACTCTGCTGACTTGTTCAGCTCCATCCACTACTTCCGCTCCACCGCGACAGGCTTTCTGCCATCCGTCTAGCCGCGGTAGGTGGATTCCCTCGAATCTCCTCGGTTTCATCGCATTCTTCTCTTTCCATTGTCCACAGAGGGGGAGGGAACTGGTCGGGGACTGGAGTTGGGTTCGGTCTGGGATCGTGTGACCATCCTCGCAGCTATTATTCTTCTTCTCTCCGTTTTAGCCGCTGCCGGTGTGTCGTCTCAACTATTTTATTTGGCATTGGCGGGGTGAATTGCCCAGTGTCTTCGCCTTCTTGTCTCGTGATCGCTGCGAGTCATCATGTCGCGGGGCTTGGACTACGAGGTGATCAACGAAAACGTGAAGAGGGTTGCCTATGCCGTCCGTGGTGAGCTCTATCTTCGCGCATCGGAGCTCCAGAAAGAAGGGAAGAAGGTACTACGCTCGCATCCCCCCCGCCAGCTTATTGGAATTGAAATATTTGAGCCTTACCGTAGCGAATCTGTTGAGAATATCGGTTTTCTTTCCAATCACTGCGCACCAGGCAGGGTTCACCACAGTTTACTTTCTGTTCAAAACCCACCTGGGTTCAGTATGATGTTGGGTTGCCCCATTTGAGTAAGTGTTTTCTTGATTGTACTCACTCTAACACTGTTCGTAGATTATCTTCACAAATGTTGGCAACCCTCACGCTCTGGGTCAGAAACCGCTGACATTCCCACGCCAGGTGCATAATACTTAATCATCTGCATAATTTGATATTGCAACTTGACATATGTGGGCAATTTCTTGGATAATTGATCTCTTTCTTCCATTTTTCAGGTCGTAGCATTGTGCCAGGCACCATTTTTGCTGGATGATCCTCATGTTGGCATGATGTTCCCTTCCGATGCTATTGAAAGAGCCAGACATTACCTTTCCTTGACATCGGGTGGTCTGGGTATGCTGTGCAATTTTTTCTTCATTTTCTTTTTCCTCCAGATTTAGTAGAATTTTCTGCTTTCTTATTTATCATTAAAATGTATAGTTCTCTCATGTATTCCATCGATTATTCGTTATGTTTCTTTCATTTTTCCCTTTTTCACTCTTGCCTGTGGATTTTGCTTTTCCTTCTCATACTACCGTGAACCATCCCCACTCCATTATTCTCCCATATTTGTCTGCACAGAAAATGCCTAGAGCTGCTACACACATGGAATAGTTCAAAAAAAGTGTCCCAGTGACAGAATTTCCTTTCATCAAATAATATCAAATTGATTTCATAATCTTGTTGAATTTGAACACTGTTAAATATAATTTCTTTTGTACGGAAAGATATCATGTCATCAAGAGGAGTAAACCATAATGGATTAATTGAATATGGAAGAACATGCAGTTTTTATACATCATGGATTGGCAACTGTAATATAGAGCTAATTTCTTTTAAAGTTTTCTGAAGAAGTAGATATATCATTTCAAGAAAATAATATGAAGCATCTAGTTGATATGCACTCAATCATACAGCTGCCATTGAATATCATTCAAGCTAATAAAAATATCAGTGGAGAACAGATATCATAATCAACTTTCTGAGGTTGACAGGGCAACATAACTCACAAGGATGTGTTATATAACTACGTGGCATAACTGAAATTATGGGCCTTTGGCAGTGAATTTGTCATAATATTGCAATTTCGTAGGAATTTATTTTACATTTCTCCGAGTTTCAGTTTGGTATTGCCCACGTTTACAGTCTTCTATGCCATGTGCACGTCTAAAAGTCCTGGCGCTGTAAAAAGTTTTCGAAGATCAGTGGCTAGAGATGCAAAAAAAATTAAAAAATAATATGTTTTCTCCTTTCGTATTATTGAGAGGTTCATGCAACTATAGGTTCTAGTATGTTGCTATGAACACAGTGTAAGATGGAGATCCAGTTGTTAGGAGCTTTTAAATGGGCTTAGCTTAGGTAATTTCTCATCTAGTCAGCTCCATTAAATAATTACCAATTAAATCTTGGAAATATATAAAAATCGGTATAAAACTGGTATCTGTTGCTCAAGTCAAAATGTTTTTCTCAGATCAGCTAATTTGGCTAGCGTGTCACTATTTGAAGTCCACTAAAAATCTTTGGTCAGAATGCAATAATCTCTAAACTCAGGAGATTTAGTTCAAGAGTCATTATCTTTTCCCCCCAATCGCATTTACATTGACTTCCACGACCAGTTTTCTGGTTCTCCTTACATCCAAGAGTTTTTTGCCAACCGATTATGACAGTGACTAGTGGCAGCAGCAACAGCATTACATGATATTATCTGAAACCATTGAAAAAATTGGCGTTTCTCTGTTTTTCATCCAACCATGTGATGCATAATTTACCATTCTCATTTATGTGGTCTTTGTTCCTTTCTCCGGACCGATGATTTCTGAAAATGAAAAACTAATTGAGATCTACCAATGGACAGATGCGTGGAAAGTCTTTAAACTGCTTTGATGTAGATCTCTCATTCAGACTTGTCATGTTAGGACTTTCTGTCTCCATATTCGCCTCATTCTGGAAGTTGGCCCCGTATGAAAATATTGACGACAGTTTCAGATGTGTAGTTGACAATGACGAGCATGGTGCTCTGATCAATGTATCATATTTAGTATTGCCCTGGTTTCCAGTTGTTGAATTTCTTTTGCTCAGATCCATGAACAATTGCCATCCTCTTGCATATTCACGTACTTTACACCGAAATATGCTAATGGAACCATTTAGGAGATTTCAATATCTCAAACGTCGAATCTTGTCTTTTGCACTGTTATTATCATAGAATAGGCATATTATTTCTGAATTAGCATCTTGTAATGGTGTATTCCTGGAAAATCCACGTCAGTGTCTCCCATTTACTATTGTCTTATATCACTTTAACAAGTCATTACTTTACTAATGACCTTTGGCAGAAGGCTGACAAGGTGTTTTATTATCCATTAGGTGCATACAGCGACTCCCGAGGACTTCCTGGAATAAGAAAGGAGGTTGCTGAGTTTATTGAAAGGCGTGATGGATATCCTAGGTAATATTAGTTCAACATTGAACTACCATTTAATATTTCGGATACTATTTGTGTTCTACCTCGTTCTCTGACAACCTGGTTGTGTTTTCAACCCAAAAGCCTCTCCTAATGTGAATGGTGCTAATGTCAACCTTGAATTACAGTGATCCTGAGCTTATATATCTCACTGATGGTGCAAGCAAAGGTGTCATGCAGATGCTAAACACAATTATTCGCAACGACAAGGATGGGGTACAAAGTCTTGATAAAACAGGAAAAATGGACAGGCTTTTATTTTTAAAGGCTGTATAGTTTTCATTTTTTTCTCACGTCTTTTTTTGTCATATTGATGCGGCAGATTCTGGTCCCAGTTCCACAATACCCTCTTTATTCAGCTGCAATATCATTGTTTGGTGGGTCTCTTGTCCCATACCATCTGGAAGAGACAGCCAACTGGGGTCTTGACATAAATAACCTTCGCCAGTCCTTGAATGAGGCTCGAATGAATGGAATAACTGTAAGCATCCATTCTGATATCTAGAAGAAATGGTTGTGTGCATCTTTCTCAAGAAGAAAACTTGGTATCATAAAAATATGGTTTCTACTGATTATAATTTCAAATTGTTTCGATATTACATATAAATTGCTATTTTAATTCAGCACGTACTGGAATTTTTCCAGCTAATTCTGGTGAAGACAGAAAAATCTTGTTTTATTTAGATCCTTTGTTGCCTAAAATTATTTCCTCATACTAACTATGCTTTTCTGACCAAGTTTGATGGACACAATTGGTGAGCATGCATACTTACATATTTACCATGTGTAACGTTCATTATCCTTGAATTCGGTTTCATATTTATGCCTCTGTCCAAAGAAATTAAAAGCATATCCTATTGAATTCAGGTCCGAGCAATGGTTATTATAAACCCCGGGAACCCAACTGGCCAATGCCTCAGTGAAGCCAATATACGGGAAATATTGAAATTCTGTTACCAGCAAAAGTTGGTGCTGCTCGCTGATGAAGTTTATCAGCAGAATATTTATCAAGATGAACGGCCATTCATAAGTTCCAGAAAGGTAAAATATCTGTCATTCTCTAAACCAGTGGAACCAATTAGCTATTACATCTTTTATTAAACAAAAGGTATCTTAAAACTGCAAGATTTTGTTGGGCATGGGTCCGCCATTTAGCAAAGAGGTACAACTCGTATCCTTCCACACTGTTTCCAAGGGCTATTGGGGTGAATGTGGACAACGTGGTGGTTACTTCGAGATGACAAACATTCCTCTGAAGGTATGTTTTCTTGGAAACTTGTTTTTTACTTGTAGATTATGAATCAAACGTATGTATCTACCCAAAATCCTTTTAGTATGTGGTACTCATTTTGTACCATCTTCAGAGACTTGCACAGTCCCAGAATTTTGACTTGACTAAAATGTATCCGTCTATCTACAAAATAGCCTTTTGAATGAAGTCGAAATAATATTGTGGAAATTTTTGTGTCATATTCATTTTAAACCATAAAACCTTGAAGTTGATATTTTTATGAATTAAGCATTTTATACTTCATTGATTACTTCAGGTATGCAAAATTTATCTTTGAATGTGTTATTTTTAAGGCAAGGAGAATAAAAAATAGTGATTTGATGATATATTCAGTTTATTAGTTTCAAAGGTACCATGGTTCTCTGTTATCTGCTTGTATCTAGTCGTCTCATGCCTCAGCTCTGGAACTAACTCTGAACATCATGTTGAAACTAAAATTTTCAAGAAGCCACAGAGAGTTTCCGTAATTTTGAGGTAAAATTATCATGCTGATGTTCTTCTTAATCTATGAAAACTTTCTTGACTGTCATTATTTACTTAAAAGATTGCAACCATGATAGTTCACCATTTTGGGAAGGATACTAATTATGGGTCACCAAAGAATGATCCAGAATAATGTCTTACATGTCTGAAGAAAAAATGGGAATTCTTTTCAGTGAGCCACTCTGATTTGGCAAGCAACTACTGGCTTTTTTCATTCAATAAGTTGTAGTATCAGTTGAGAAACAAACTACATGTCTAGAAACATTTTTTTCCAACTGCACGTGATATTTGCCTTGCCAGAAACAACTTTTCCCATTCTGATAATATGACGACCTCCATTTCGAGTATCAGTGTCCAATAATATTCAGGAATTCAAAACATGTTCTACGTCCATTAATATCTCTTATTCCTTTTGGATGTAATCTTGAGCTCAGTGGTTAGCTTCCTATTCATTGGCCTTAAAAGGACAGTGAGATCACTTCACTAATCTGAAAACTATTGCCTCTGGTTATTAGCTATAGCTTTTCTCAGAAGAACGAAAGAAAATATGCACTCTGCAAGCTGCTATAAGAATATATTTTGGCTCAATGTCTTCACGAAACCCAGCCATGAGATCTTATAAAGTTTCAAAATTTTACTCATTTTATTTATTCTCTGGAAAAGTAGTAACCACCAAGGAAACTAAAATAGACGAGAGTACACTCATTTATGTATATGTTTCTTTACTTCTTTAGGCCTGAACAAACAAAGCAGAATGCCGTTTTCATTTTGAACTGATGCTTGATGTCGACTTGATGAAATTTTTGCTGTCAAACTATGTGACTTGGTATAATTTTCTGTAAATTAATTTCATCCTTTCAATATTAACAACTTGTTTCTTTCAACTTAATGTCATGCAGACTGTGGATGAGATTTACAAAGTGGCTTCTATTTCACTCAGTCCTAATGTTCCTGGACAGATATTTGTAAGTAGTTTTTAAAGACTATTAACCTTAAACTGCTAATATTTTCTCTCATTATGAACTTGGTTTGTTGTATTTTTCAATTCTTTTATCTGACCACTATGCCCTCTTTCTTTTTTAGTTAGGACTGATGGTTAATCCCCCCAAACCAGGGGACATATCATACTCGAAGTTTGTGACAGAGAGGTTAGAATCTTGATCCCAAAAACTCCTTTGTTTCTTTCAATTAATTCTTTGGGAGGTCTTCCCTGTCAGGTAATCCTGTTTACAGGTCCTGCAGTATCAATTTTTTTGGCTAATGATTACAATCAAAATTCAATTAATTTCATTACGTGTCTTATAAAAACGAAATCCGTAATCAGTCTTGCTGCCATCACATTCACTAGAAGAACCTATTCATCGGGACTATATGTTGACTTTTTGCCACATTTCTTATAGCATGATGATAGTTACTGGGTACACTTGAAAGTTCCATGCTGAATAGTGTGACAATTGGTTGGAAAAATGTGTTATTGGTAAAGTAATAATGAATTACTACTATGACGTTTAAGATCCTGATATTTAAATCCACTAGCAGATGTTATCCACATATCCTTTATCAGACTTCCTAAGTTTTTGATACCTACGCCAATCTTGTCTTTGGTTGCATGTGTAACTCAAGGCATCTGATGGGAGATTAGGCAACTCTACATCATAGAATCGCGGCTATGTATTCATCCTTGGCCTCCCGAGTACTTAACACACTGTCGGAAAATCAGGTTCCTTTAGGTATTGGTTCCCTAGTCAGTACCTCTAGTGCTAAAGATGTTTAGCAATCCGTAAGCACTAGGTAGCCTTGTCTTTGGCCTGGATTGCTCTCAAAGGATATCAAGATATGGCCACTGCAAGATCAGTAGTGGAGGATAGCTAAAACGGTTGGCCTCAAGGACTCCTGAAGTTTCCATGAGGCTGCCCTCTGAGAAAATAGAAGTCGGTTGTGATTACGCCACTGAAGACCTAATTTAACCACTCTTTACCTAGATATCAAAACTACCAAAAAAATTACTTCAGTGTGAGATGATTTTTCTACTGCAAGCTTTGTTGTACAGCTTTAGTATCTCCTTCAATATTAGGTTAACATATTTGAATGAAAATTTACATATTTCTTTTTATTTTTCCAGCAAAGCAATCCTTGATTCTCTGAGAAAGAGGGCTCACATAATGACTAACGGATTTAATAGCTGCAGAAATGTGGTTTGTAATTTCACAGAAGGTACTTATCTGCTATGTCTATTGTCCTTACATTTTTCCTTTCATACACTATGTATACTCATTCCTAGTTGTGTTGATCCAGGAGCCATGTATTCATTCCCTCAAATTAAATTACCTCCTAAGGCAATCGAAGCTGCCAAAAAGGCTGGGAAGGTTCCTGATGTCTTCTATTGTCTCAAGCTTTTGGAAGCAACTGGCATTTCCACGGTTCCTGGCTCAGGGTTTGGACAGAAGGAAGGGTAATGACAACTCTAACCTTATTTCTTCGCGTAGACCAATCTGGTACACCTTTAGTGATATCATTGCTCATCTGATATATGTAGTAAGACTGTTCTGGTAATGTTAAAAATTAGACTTCTTTTCAGAATTAGACTAATTCTAACTTTTGTGAATGCATTATGATTCTGAATCGAGGAGGAAACTAATTCCAATCCAACTCTTCCCGCGTCTTCAAAATCTTCTTTTTAGACCCAACATTCCTTCCATGAGGATTTTACCTCTCAAACTTGATGTTCTCAAAGCCGTAGCTCTCTAACATAAAGGAGGTTTCCCCATCCCCTTCACTGCTTCAATGCAGCCTTGATAGACTGTAGATCTGTGCATTTTCTCCTGCTCGCTGACAATCGATACAAGTGATAGTTGAGCTTAATCACGCATCATTGGATTCCACAGCGGCATATTACCCTCTGCATGTTATATAGGCTTACATTCTACCTTCAGGAGGAGGGCTTCTGCTTTATTTTCTGCTGACATTTATGCTTTTGATCTAGGGTTTTCCACCTCAGAACGACCATTTTGCCAGCTGAGGAGGACATGCCGGCAATCATGGATAGCTTCAAGAAATTCAATGATGAGTTCATGGAGCAGTACGATGACAAGAAAGGATACTCAAGGATGTGAGCAAGCCCTGCGCAAAGGGAGAGGTATCGTAGGCCAGCGGTGTCATTGTGGCCAGGGCAGGGCTGTAAGTCCTTGAAAACCCTAAGCCATCAGCGTTTCAAGAGCTGCTCTACACACTCTCTGCTGCCAATTGTGCCCTCTATAATTAGTGACGTAAATACCCCCTGGGCTTGGAGAGTATCGATCTGCTTATTCTTGGGCCACTAATCCTCGTATCACATTATTTCAAATATCCCTCTGTCGTAGTTCGTGTACCAGGTTTGCGGACATCGAACTGAACCTTTGGAGACATGACTTTTATTCCATATATGGTCGTAAAATTTATCTTCCTGGTCTATATCTAAAGCAATCAGACTCTTTTATTTATTATTATTATTATTATTTAAGGGCTCCTGTTGTGATGATGAAATGTGCTGTTGGAAAAAAAGAGAATTAGAACAATCTATGGTTTCCTTGATTTTTATTTATTTATTGGTTTGACGGATTGCTTCGATTCTATGCAATGATTCCCCCAGCCAGTGAAGTCAAGAGGATGCCACTTTTCTCTACTCGTCGACTTCCACCTTTTGGTAGAAGGTCACCATGTATGTCATGTATGCCATGTATGCCATGTATAATGATATGATGGGCCCCCATGCTTAATGTTGTAAGAATTAATGTGCAAGGATTCATTTGTCAATTGCTCTGGCTGTCGGTATTTCTCTCACTGAGACGCATTTCCGGCCTAAATGGAGAAAGAAGAGTTGGAAAGCTGTCATGAAAGATCAGGGGCACACCAGTGCACCTATCATACATAGTAAGCAGCACATATTTGGTGATGACAACAACATTTTGGAGAGTTTTTCGCAAGAAGTTCATTCTTATAAAGACCCTTTTTTTCTGAGCTAGTGAAGGAAGCTCTTGAGGGAGACCAAATTATTACTATGGGCCAATCCCTTCATGGGAGACCAAATTATTACATCATCATCATACGTAGCAGTGGCATGGCATCGGTTAAGGAGAAGAGCGACAACAGCCCACGATGGCACTTCCGCTATAAAATTGGAGTGAAGTCGTCGAAGCTCCATCCTAATGGCCCTCACCCCAAAATAGAGCCCCGCTACGGAGCTGTCCACCGGCAAGTTTTCCAATAATAATAATAGAAACCTATAATTATAATTATTATAAGCATAATAATATTGAGAACTTTGCTTCTATCCAAAGAGCGGAATATTTTGGTTGATGCCGTTAAACACATGATATAACAGCAGCTAGATCGATGAAGAATACGGATATAAACATATACATAGATATATAGATATATATATACATACATATATATATATAGAGAGAAAGAGAGAGAGAAAGAGAGAGAGAAAGAGAGAGAGAGAGAGAGAGTGAAGGAAAAGGCTAGATGCAGTCTTTATAATGTAATATAGATGCCTTGAATGAAACCACCCTCCAAGAATGTTCAACAAGCTCGAGTCCAAGGAACTTGAATGCAGAATTCGCCTAGTAATTTATTCCCTCCTGGACAAGGTACAGGGCAGGGAGTTAAACAACTGAGTAGGAAGGGGAAGATGAGAAGAAGAAGTCGCCAGTAGAACCTTTAGTTCGAGATGATGCGTTCCCTTCGATGTTTTTCTCATCTCAAGCTTTCTTCTCCTTCGCCGGTGGAGGGAAGAAAGCTCGGAAGATCCAGGCAGCCAGGATTGCGCCAATGAATGGACAAATCCAGTAAACATAGAACTGCTCCCATGTGTTGTGACGGTTGTCCACGTAAGCCCAGCCAAATGCCTGTCTTGTCAAAAACCAGCCACAAGCGTGACCAGCTGAGAGTCATAACCCCACCTCATGAAGAAATGAGGGATCATGCGCGTATACATTGCTCCATCTAGGCATTAATTATATTTGAAATCATGGGTCTTCTACTGGACCATTGATGACATCAGAGCCTCCATAGAAGCAAAAGAGATACAACAGGCCCGCATCATAGACCACAACCGGTGTTCCTTAATGGAACACCATAATAGTAAGACTAGGATCAAATGACAACAGATGACAAGTGTTAGACTCACCTACTTTGGTTTTGGTTATGGTTACGGGTGCATATACCTTAAAAAAAACTAAGCATTCAAGTGCCAATACACAGTCCATGGCAGATAGAATAACTCAGCAAGACAAATTCGAAAAATTAGGCCATTGTGCCATGACAGATGATACAGCCCATTTCCCTCTCTCTCTCTCTCTCTCTCTCTCTCTCTCTCTCTCTCTTTGTCCAAAAACATACCTAAAAAATGTTGATACATGATACCATTATACATGAAAACTATTTTCCCTCTTGATAACAGCATCATTAAGCAGGGAGGCATCTCCACTGAAAGCACAACTATCCAGGATTAATCTTCCTCATTATCACGCTTATATACAACTGTTGCAATACATTTGCCGAGAAAAGCACAAATATTACTCTCACCAATCAGCAGTTAAATACAGTTTGGCAAATGCACATCTACCAACACAATGAGCCAGTGCGTTAAAAAAGACATTATCCATAGCCGGGGTAGGACCATGTTAGGCACCTAGTGGGCCTAACTGTAGGCATAGAAAAGGGGCCCAGCACCCCTCTCAAAGGGACAAAACAGTCCCTTCAAGTGAGGACCGAGGAGTTATTTCTAGGGCAGCTGCAGTGAGGAGAGCAGGAGGCCTCTCAAACCTCCCCCACTGACTCTAGGGTTCTCGGGAGCCCAAGCTACCTTTTCTACTATTTGATCTTCCACTTTCATCTCAAACTTCAGTATTTCCACTGCGTTTATCTGTCAAGATTCAGGTTCCTAACAGATCATCAACCGAATTTCACTCGCATAGCTAAAAGCAAGCTTACCACAAGCTAGAGGAGAGGCCTTCTAATAAAATTGACTTCAAGAGTTGCACTTTATGAATCTTACAGTAGTAATCTATGTCCGGTCAGTTTAAATAACCAGTAAACATGTCCGTTCGAAAGAGGAAGAATGAGGTTCAAAGAAAAGTCTTTAGCACGTGCCCAGCAAGAGGGATAAAAAGAACGAAAGAGTGATAGCATGATTGTATTATTTGTGATAAAATCCAATGCCATCCAGTCCTATTCCTTAAACAGAGACAAGGGATAGAAATCAGAACGTCAGAGGAAAGATGGGCACAAAGCCTGAGAAAAAATACCCCGAAAAAGAAGCAATGGAGGAAAAATAAAATATTTAGAACAGCCAAGAGGCACCCAAAATGTTTATTGAGCACCACTTCCTACATCCCGCAAAGCACCTGGAATTCTAATCTAGCCAATTTTCTGTGCCCCTTTTGATGGCAGAAATCTCGTTCCCAACCTAATATAGAGGCAATTTACTGGGATCCATGACAGAATTTCCTGTAAGGTAGAATATTTTGATTGTCAGAACTGAGAATCGTACATCTTCCACGTATTAAGTCTTGGTTTTTTTAGTATTTCTCCACTTCTTCTGAGATTTAACTCAATCAAAATGTCAAAAGGAATCCGTATTGCACAAGATCCAGAGATCCAAGGTAGGTTTAAAAGATGGAAACGGCCTACTGCACATCAAGAATCTTAACATCAAACACGAAAAATGCATAATACTTATTCAACACTTTTCATGTTGAGCAAGGAGGATACAAAAATAGCTAAACCTGTAATGAGGACAGAAGTACCATTTTAAATCACAATCTTCATCTAATAAGAAACATCCGTTTATCCTGCTTGGAGACTACAATCTTCACCAATTAATGAGCTCTTGATCCGTCCAGCTGATAAGAAAAACTAGAATGGACTCGAATTTGTTGGCATCAGCTGGTATCAAAGTAGCTCTCTAGTTATGCACGTTTACTGGAATAAGTATCTTCTCAAAGATCTTTCATATACCATGAATGGCACTCTTCAAGTCATGAACACCCAGGAAAGAGTCTGACTTTTGCAGGTTCTGAAACTTCATTCTAATAGGTTGTTCTCACGAGTATTTGATGAACTCTTGCCCTCAACAGGTACTTAGTAAACACAAGATTTCACGAGTAGGGCACAGACGTAACAAGAATAACTACATTCAGACGCCCATGCATGATCAAGACGAGCGGACTCAATGCATTATAATTGCATGCACCATGTGGCTCATAAGCCCTGACTCTACACAATATATGTTAGAATGTGTTTTAAGACATAATATACAGCAGACACAATTTTAAGATGAGAAGAAATAGAAATTAGCGTCGTATAAAATAAGATAATAAAAAGAAATATTATTTAAGTATGAGTTTCAGGAATATGAGGAACACGGTTTATAGCATTACAGAGACTCTGGTTAAATGCAAAGTGGACAAACCTACCCTGTCGCAATCAAATTCACACTAAATCAAAGGAAAGCTCTAGATGACAGGTTAAGATATTACAGATAATGATTACGAATAATGAGCTACAAGAAAAATCCAAACAAATAACAAGGCTTGGCATGAGAACAGAGAAGTCAGTGTAAAGATAACCCATCCAACAAAATATTCTATCAGAGAAATGTCATGGTGAATAGAAACAAGGAACATAGCCTACACTCATTTGAGACGATTTAGACATGTAAAGACACTGAAACCCACTTTATCATTATTTCGCGGTGAATGAACAAAATAGAGGTATACAATGAGAAGAACAGGTATGTAACCACGACCCATTCAGCTGGAATTGTTGTACAAGACAATAGGAGTCACGTGTGTTTGTATGTGCACACATCTGCTTTTATAACTACATTAAATGACAAAGACTAGATGAATCCTCCTCTATGACAACTATAGAGTCAATGACTAAATAGTCCTGGATAGATTTGCCCTTTTGATCCGAAACTCTGGATATACCTAACAATCCAAATCACCAATTTCGGCATAACACAGGTCAGAATCGAATTCAGTCATGTGGACGAAAAGTATTAAAAAAATGGAAATAATGTGAACCATCATAAAAACAGAAAATAAATTTCAACTGGTGTAACCAAGCAAGCAAATTCTGATCATCAAACATGTAACTTATATAGAGATCACAATTTCATCTAACATATTATGATTTCAGAGATTGTGGTAGATGTGCAAAATCTTTGACTTCATTTGATCACATATATCATAAAAGAAAAATAAGCCCAGAAAACAAGAGCAGAATCAGGGAGAAAGAAAAATAAATCAGAAATGTGCAGCTCACAGACAATAAGATATACGTCCTGCCATTGCAAACGTGCAAAACAGTTTAGATAGTCTGGGCAGATTCTAAAATGCTCTCAGCCAACTTGGTGATGTCCAAGATGCAGGTCCTATTTGGTTGGCAGTAGACTCGCTACTATATAACAGGTTCCAAGTTCAGGGACAATGCTATCTGACAGGTAAAGATCAGCCCCCCAACTCGATTGGCACATAGGAGGATTAGACAATGCGCTTGACGTTCTTAAACCAAGTCAGAGAAAACTTAACCATATACTTGATGGGTTACTCACATGACAGGTAGAATGGACAAGACACCCACCTTGCACTGTCAACCCCGAATAACTATGACCCCCTGAAGAAGAGAGAGCTCAGATGTTCTCAGGGAAAGTTAAAAGGAGTTGATCTATGCCAACTGACAGCTTTTTTACGAGAAAAAATGTGATTTAAAGATTAAAGAAGATAGTACTTCATATAAGTCTAACCCATATCCCATGCTTCATATGACTCTCTCTCTCTCTCTCTCTCTCTCTCTCCCTTCCTCCCTCTCCATCTCTCTCCTATATTGGTGCACATAAACGAACTGGTCGTGGAGCAAGGAGCGTCGTACACTGAACGGTGGTCAACCGGAATCGGTATCACCTATGACAGGAAGAAAATTAAGCATCTCAGACAGAAGATTCAAAAGTTACATTTGGTGATGCAGCACCTTGCTATAGAATACTAAGCTCCATGGATTCATTATGTTGCTTCCACACCATCAAACTACACCAAGCATACTCTTCAACAATCATCCAGTGTATCCCTTACGTATCAATGGGGACAGGAATAACAGGGAGTAAATCAGAATAGCAGGAGATATATGCTGCTTACAGGAGCATCAAGTGTCTGATAGAGGCAACACTGAGGACATCGCAAAAGAATAACGGAAGAACTATCTCCCTATTCTTTTAATTCATTAGTTTCATAGATGAAAAAAGTATAGAAAGAGCACCGGTAGTCTTTAAAAAACTTTCCAGAATTTAAAGCGTGCGGCATGAAGTTTTGCCGACTGTACACCAGAACTGAGCCAGCCTAGCTCAAGAACAGCTAAGATTCTCCACCAAACCAGCCAGTTCCGGGAAAAACTAAGAGAACAGGAACAACGACCTTCTATGAAGCAGTATGGAGTTATTTTGTGCAACAAACTGACAGTATGGCAGATACCCTTTACATCCACGTTCATTTCTCATGGTGCAGATTCATACAGAGGTGAAAATAGAATCAGATTCATCCACTATTATTATACATTCAAACACTGCATCCCAAAAAAGCATCGTTCAATCTCACGCCAACTTTGGCCTCTCAGAGATGCATTATTTATAGTTGATTAAATGGAAGATAACATATTCCCTCGTCATTCGATGAAACTAGTCTAAAAATATTTGCGATAAGATCGAATAAATTTCGTAAGAGTAAATCTTTGTGGGACAAACTAAAATTTGTATTGGGACTGTACGCGGTACGAGTGTTTACAGCATACTCACATTAGCAGGATTCATGGCTGGACCCGTGTAGCTTCCACCAGCGATCACCAGTGCAACTGTTGCGATGGCAAGCATCCATGTCTTGAAAATTCGATTGCGGGGGCCCTTGACCACAATGCAAAGGACTGCAAAACTGATGATGAATGTGAGGATGCCTTCCGCAACAGCCCCTGTGTGCATGTCTACCCTCACTGTGGGGCCGCCGAGCATGTGTTTATACTGCGGGGGCATGTACTCCATGATGGCCAGAACTCCACCGACTGCTCCCAGGGCCTGCAAGGACGTACAAACATGGGAGAAGTCTATCAGACAGCGGCACGTGATCAGTCGAGAAGACTACTCAGAGGATCGACTATTCTTTGATAGAGAAAAAGCGGAATCAGGTCGAAGATTGGAGACGAATGGGAAAGGTTGGAGCCTCTGAGAGCTGCACCGATTAATCAATCAACCCTGGCTTGCACAATGACAGCAACCAGTACGGGTTGATAAATTAACAGTGTACAATTCTCCGTAAAACAGCGAGGGATGAAGGACATGAACATCCGCGGCAGAATAAGGGGAGGTATAGGCTAAACAGGATCGACAGCGGATGGGCACGGAGCGCCGGGCTTGAGAGGGAGGGGGGAGGAGAGAGTAGACCGCACCTGAGCGGGGAACCGGAGAGACATGGAGAAGAGGCTGTTGTCGCCGAGGCCGGCAGCGTAGAAGGACGCGAGAGCGGTGGGGTTGAAAACAGCGCCGCCTAGAGCGCTGCCGATGAGGGTAAAGACGAAGACGAGGAAGGCGACAAGGGTGGTGGTGAGGAGGATGGGGGCGAAGGGAACGGCGAGGAGGCCGAGGTAGGTGCCAATGGCGTGCGTGGAGGCGCGGAGCGTGGAGGCGCAGAAGACCCAGGCGAAGGTCAGAATACCATCCGCCAGGGCCGCCTTCACCGCCGCCCATACAGACGACGACGGACCATCGCCCGCCATGGCGCGCACTGTCAACAATATCCCCCGAACTTCTTCTTTAGGTCGGAGGAGGGAGGGAACCAGAGCGGCAGATCCACTGGACCGGGAAGAACGCTGGGCATTTCGGTTATAAATTCACTCCGATTGGATGGATCAGGGTTGGAGGGGCCTCTCTGGTGGTCGCTGTTGAGCTCAACCGAAGCCGTCGTCACCTAACACCCTTCCGTTCCTCACCAGTCCGCGGGGCATCCTCGCCCCCACACCACGCACGCCGACAGGAGCCAACCAACTGCCCCTTTTGTCTCGGCGCGTCAAACGGCGGCAAAGTCAACCAGATGAGACGATGGACGAGCGATCATGCCGAGCCGGAGAAAAAAAAAACACGTTTTTGTGCGTGCGGGTCTCGAAGGGTGGTCCAGGTGTCTACATCGCCTTCAATTGCCTGCATAAGCGTAATCATCTAAAGGCGGCTTGTTAATGCCCCAAGGGGAGGTCCGACAAGAAGGGAATCCAGAACGCCGCCGTCCAAGTGAGATCCTGCTATGATATATAGAGCGAGAGCAGATTCCTGGTAAACTTCTCCTGTTGAGCGGCCGCAGTGAGATCCCTTTCCTCGAAGGTTCTATCTTCTGTCTTCTATCTTCTTCTTCTTCTTGTTCTTTTTATTAAATGTTTCGTGCGTACTGGTCAAAGGCCAAAGGCACACACGAACATGAAGCAGGCCTTTCTCACCATAACCAATCAATCAGACGGGAGGCAGGCTGAGACATTCTCACACATGAGGAGACACGGATCAAGCTCTGCTGATTTAGAGCCGAGGTCGTCGTCCCTGCTGCTACTGTTTCTGCGGCCGTGGGCGAGGGGCGCGCCTGCCGCTGGAGAGGGTAATGTAGACACCTGGGCTCTGCTGCACGCAGGAGCTGTTGAGCATGACGGAGTTGTTGACGCTCTGTACATTGCTGTTCACCAGTGCCACCATGGGCGGCGGCTTGCTCGACGATGCGCCTGCCTTCGATTTAAACGCTCCCTTCACTTCGTCCTCTACGAGCGGCTTCCCTCCGGTTGTCCCCGGCGCAACATTCTTCGTGCTTTCTGCAAGACGGCGGCCATGATTCTTCCTCTCGCCGCGGTGGCCGCCGCCGCCGCTCAAGTCCATGCAGGCGCCCATGTTGTCCCCGGCCAAGGTCAACACACTCACCCCGCGCTCCGTCCCGTCGTCAGCGGGTTTCCTGCGCGGGGCCGCTGCAACGGCCGTGTCCCTCTTCTTCACATTGGAACTGTCCTGAGGAGTCGAAGAAGGGGCAGTGGCGTCCTTTTCGCCGCCTCCTGTCGTCGCCCACTTCAACTTGCTGTCGTCAGGGTGATCGTCGTTCTCGGAAGGGCCATTAACGGCTGTGGGCGTGGGCTTCGGCTCAGAAGACACAACAGGCTTCGTTTCCGGTTCCGGGTGCGGGGTTTGGGGGAAACGGAGAATTTCAAGGGGAGCAGCGGCGACCTGAGGAGAGGGCCGCTTCTCCTGCCCGACTGTGGCAGACGAGGGTGGATTGAGGACATCGCTTGGCGGTGTGGGTACGGATGGGCCGATGTCCTTGGGCGACGGGGAAGGCGTTTGGACCCAGGGAGTCAGTGCTTGGACTGGCAGGGACGACGCCGGCGGCGGCGGCGCCGGTCCCTCGCCCGGGGTGGGCTGCTGTTTCTGTGCTGGTGGCACTGGGTCGCCCTTCGACGGAGGGGGCAATGGGCTCTGGAGCGGGGAAAGGGGGGCCGGATCGGGCTCCCTGGCCGGGGCCATGGTCGGGCTTGCACTTGGTAAGCTGCGGAGGCTACGCAAGGGCGGCCTCTCGGGAGCAGGCGGAGGAGGAGGGGGTGGAACCGCGGAGTCAAGGACGAGTGGGTCCACACGGACCTGTGAAGCGAGGCGGAACCAGGGACGGCTTGTTGCGGAGACGAGCGGCGTCGGCTGCTGCTTCTCCATTGCTATTGGAGACGACGAGGGTCCCGTACTGCGCCGGGTGCCGCGGGACCCGCTTCACTTCCTCCCTGCAGAAGAAAAGTGAGGGTGGAACGGGCGGCGGGACATGAATATATCCTTCCATGGATAGAGAGAGAGAGAGAGAGAGAGAGAGAGAGAGGCAACGCATCGGATTCGATGACGGGGGACGGGGGCTCTCTGCCTGACAGGATCAGGAGAAAATGAAATTGTAGCGACGCCGAAGCAGTGGAGTAACGCGATCGTCTGCGAGGGTTGTCCCAAGTATGGAACCTCTGCGGGCCTGGCCGGGGCAGGGCTGGGAGGGGGAGAGAGAGAGGCCGAGGTAGGCTGCTGAATTGGCACGGCGGCGGAGTTCTCCCTGAGATTGGGAGGGATGGCCCCGACGTCTATGTGGTTCTATTCCATACTTGCCTCCTTTCCGGAGGGTCGGAATATGTGCGGCGTTGTGACGTAGGGCAGTGGCCTTTCGACGCCTCGAATAAATAACGAAATACCGTGAAGTGGCGTTTTATTGAAGTCACTTTCATTCGAAAAACACAAACATATGCGAATCTAAGACATAAGGCATCCATGGTGGTGCCATTTTAATGATTATCAGGTGTAGTAAAATAAAATTTCTTCTTAGCCCCGAACATTCTCAAAAATTTTATTAAATATCCAGTGATAGCCATTCAAATTATCCATTTTGGTTAGGGTTCTTAATTAATACACCTTTCATGGTATCAAATGCTCAACTGCTCCAAATCCTGCATTATTCATGAAGCATTAGATTCATGCATCATCAATTCGTTATAATTATCTTTAAATCCTAAATAATATAAAAATCTCCCAAGTTTTATCAAGTTTTTAAGATCACTTTCGGATTTAGGTCTTTTACCAGTTAGTCCTACATATGGCTGCTAGTCCTATGATTCACAAGAATAATATTCCTTGCAAAAGACTGTAGATGTCATGACATGCACAAATCGTCTTTACAAGAAGGTAGAAGAAGCTATATGTATATTTTTTGAAATTTATGGTAATATACATAGGATCTGATACATCTCACTTCATGATCTAGCCTAATAATCCTGTCCTAATAATAAATTATTAAACTATTAAAATACATGATATTTTGATGATGACAAAGTATAAAATCAATTAAAAGATCAAACTATGCTTAATTTAGAATATGTATGATATGAGGATGAATATAAAAGTACTCATATGTTGTTATATTAATATGAGAATTCATTGAACATACTTTTCACTAGTGATACTGAATTTATATATTTGATTGATTTCATCACATGAAATCATCATCTTTCATATTGTTATAGAAAGTGTCAATATTTACAAAAACTGTCATGATAAGAAATGAAGTGAATATGACACTCAAATCAATCAGTTCTCTTTAAGTAAAATATGGGTGCAAAATCTTATTTGGCCATTTATGAACCCATATTTTTACATCATCAGTTTCAAAATATTTTAATACTGAATTAAACAATTGAACTCAGACTGATCATTCTACCACATAGGTTTATCTAAGTATTAAATAATTTATTTTGAATAATCATTTTAGATATCTTCAATCAATGAAACCATAATTCTAAATATTCAAATCATGAACTAAAATGTTGATTTGATGATTATATTTTATTTGAGGTGATTCAAATAAGATTTCATGGCTTAATGATCATTTTAGGTGGATATATATTATCAGCCCTATTTTAATGATATTGAATGCTTACTATTATTTATTGAATTGATATAATTCAAATATGAATGTTAAGTGTTAACAAAGTCACATATTTATTTTATTTTAATATTTCATAACCATTTAAATAACATATCACATTAGTCCCTTAGCCATTTGAATTATTCATATTTCCAAGAAAATAGTTGTCAGAAAATCACAAAAATCTAGGAAAAATTTGTACAAGATATGCCTAAAAGTTTTACTATCTTTCAATAACTAAAACAAGTGATAATGATCATCTTTATCTTCTCAACAAATTTTGACTTTGCATTAAGTTTTCTACTTGTAAAAAATAGTGAGGATCGTGTTGACATGTCAATCTACTCAAAGTCACTAATTCGAGGAGCAAAATTAGAGTATTGAAGGATCCTCTTTGACTTGTCCAAAGCTGAAGGAGACTTCCATCAACAACCAATAATGTGACAAGAAGAGGATAATGAATTCAAGCCACTAAATGTCACATTATTGATTGGAATTTTGGACATACTCAAACTGTAAATCATCATTTAGAAAACTATTTTTATAGTGAAATCATTTCATATTTATTGTGAAATAAAATTATGATTCAAGTATAATTTAATTACTCATAGGAGTTGTCATTTTAACAACTGTTGACCCCTAGATACTCAAATTGTAGATCATCATTTTAATTACTCATGAATTTAGAAGAGGTTAACTTCTATAAGAGTTGAGCTTGTAATCAATGATGTATGATCGGACAATCATAACTAGTGGAACCTAAGAATAAGGATTATTCTTTGAGAGTAGATGGGTGGGGGGAAAACCACTATAAAATATTGTGTCTTCATACAACCTTAGTTTAAGTTTTAGAAAACTAAAGATTGGTGAGAAAATCTCTTGTAATGCCAACATAGAATTTTTAACTTGGAAAATAAATTTTCAACTAAAGTGGATCAATTCAACCTCACCTTCCTAATTTTAATGGGGGTCAAAACCCTACAATCAGTATTAAAGCCAACTTTTATGTATAGGAAATAAATTTATTTGATAAGTAGATTCAATGGTCAACATATATGAATATAACATGGAAAAAAACTCAATGGGTCAAATTATGTCTTTTGGAAGAACAAGATAAAAAAATTCATCAAGACATGGTCTATTAATTATGGGAAATCATTTTGCATGGACCACTAGAAATAAATAAATTGTCATCCACATAACAACATAGAAAACTCTATCAATAAATGCTAGAGCTATGATTGTACTAATTAGTAGATTAGATGTAAAATAATTCAATAGTCTTAACTTGTGAATTTGTCGAGGAAATATGAGATTGATTACATGTGATTCATGAAGTAAATACACACATGAAGAAATCAAGGATCTTTTAATTGGTTAGAAAATTTGAAATGTTCAAATAAATGAGAATGAGGCTGTCTCAAAAATGTTTGACATATTTATTGACATCATAAATATCTTAAATAGATTAGGAAGAACCTATCTAATAGAAATGATGTCATTATCACCTTGATGGAGAGCCATAGTCACTATTATGAATGAATCTAATGATTTAGCCATACCATCCCTTTATGACTTGCTATAATCCTTAGTAATTTATGAGATGGGTTTAGGAAATGATGAAGTTGGAATACAAAAACCCATAAAAAAGATTGTTGCTCTAAAGAAAATTAAAAATAACCATGAATAATTAGAAGATGATGAGGATGAGGATGATATTGTAATGTTAAAGAAAATATTGCATAAATTTTCATTAAATTAGGAAATAAAAAATTATTGAGAAATTTCAAATATAAAAGTGAAATAAATATCTTTGAATGCAAAAAACCAAGACACTTGAAAGCTAGCTGTCCTTGACTAAACTTAGAAAAGAGGAAGAAGAATGCAATGATGGTGACAAGGGGTGATAGGAACAACTCTTCATTGGAATGTGATGAAGAAGTTAACAAAAAAGCATATGCTTTGTGGCTCACGAGTCAAAGATAAAAGACTATTACAATGATGAACCTTCTAAAACCAAATTATTAGATGTAATTACTGTTCTTCATGATACTTCAAGAAAAGAGAGAGTGAGTTATAAGAAATCTAAAAATGAAATTACAGAACTGAAGGAAAAAATGAGAACTATGTTAGAAAAATTAGACAAACTAGAGTTATATGGAAATACATAATTATGGGATTGATGAATTCTCTAATGAAAGTTTCAAATTGAAAGATGAACTTGGGAATTTGAAGAAAGAAAACAATATTGAGAAATCTGACTATAAGAAGAAAACTATAGAAAGAGAAAATGATAAGTTAGTTAATTGTATGTTAAAACTTAATGATATTTGGTGTGCACTTGTTGTTGTGTTAAAATGCATACTATCTAATAATATTTATAACTAAGACTTAATAAAATATTAGTATAGAAATAAGTCTCAGGTTGAACACAAGGAGATTGATTAATCCATCATGAAAACTAATTTAGTTTATATATAAAGTAATTTTAATATTTTATTAATACTTAACATAAATAATAAAATAGAAAGGTGAGGTGAGAAGAATAAAGGAAGGGAAGCGAAGAAAATAAAGGAGGAAAAGAGAGAGAGAAGAGAGAGCTCTCACGAGAGAGAGAGAAGGGATGAGATCTCTCGTGAAAAGGATAGAAAGAGAGAGGAGGAGAGAAATCTCACGTGAGATAGAGAGAGAGAAAAGTCTCACGAGAGAGAGAGAGAAGGAGAGAGAGGAAGATCAATCTAAAGAGAGAAAGGGAGAGATCTCATAATAGAGGGAGAGAGAGAAATAAGATGAAAAATGAAGGAAGAGAAAAATATGGTCAACTCATTTTCTCGGACAAATATGTGCTCGAGGATTCACACACATGACATGAGGTCAGCTGTGAATGTCTCCAATTTGTTTTAACCATTGAATGCTCATTAATCAACCTTTAATCTCGGTGATTTTACATTCAAAAATAGAAAAAATACTTGTTATTCACGGAATGCCGAGAACGTGAATATGTCGAGATTCGACTATGAAAATCAATAGAATATAAGTTAGAAATAATCTTAACTTAATCTTAGACGAGTTTCAAAGGATTAAGAAAAAGAAGATCATTCATCAAGTTTTGAATTAGTTCTACTCATTTCAATCGAAACATGTATGAAATGAAAATAGCTTGTCGTAAAATATAAATAAATGACAAAAGCAAGTAAGTAAATGGTGAAAGTAGAAAGTAAATTGTTACTCAAGTTTAGTCCGCCTCTTGGCCAATTGGAGACTATTGTGGCGGCTTGGTTTCGTCCGGTCGTGCCACATCATGCTAGAAGTCACAGAAGTATCATCCGGAAGCGCTGGACCACTTGCCGGAGAGATTCACCGAAAGAAGGGTCAACCATGCTATCATTGTCGTTTGGGGGAAGAAAGGAAGAGCTGACTACTTGCCGGAGGCCTTGAGTGTAGTCAGGGGAGGAAGGAAGAAGTTTGCCAATCGTTAGAGATGTTGATCGGGCAAAAGGAGGGAAGAATAGATTGTTGTATTTGTGACTATCGTTGAGATTTTAAAGATAATCGATAATGTCTATTCTATCAGACAATAATCAATTACGGTCTTTATATTCCTGACGGTGATATGTGTGAGAACTTAAGTTCTCAGTATCGTGACACTCTAAGAGCTGTTAGATCAAATGAGCTTGGTCACATAGCTATCTGAGTGACGCAAGATCAACTTGTCGCAAACCATTGTCAATCAAGAACTTAAGTTCCGGTACCGTGGCACCTCCATAGCTATTAGATCGGCCTTTAAGGTCATGTGCATACTGAGCGACGCCGGATTCGCAAATCGCCGATGGATCACTTTACGCATCTAGTATTGTGGCGGTTTGCCAACTGCAAGATCAGGCTAATCAGATGGCGTGACTCTTTACGTACCACTAGATCACACCGCGCTCTAGATGGCTGTGCTAAAATAAATGAAAACATTTAGTCTCACATCAGAAATATTTTGGAACATATGTCGAATATAAACTAAAGCTACGTCTCTCAGTAGAGATCCCTTCTCCCAAATAAAATAATGTCTAAGACCATCTTGGGAGAAGGCAATAAGATGGTCCACCTTGCGGCGCACATGTGTACGGGCACTCCTTGCCCCACAACCTGTTGGCCACCGGGACGTGGAAGGGGAGTGATGCACACGTACCTGGAGCAAGGCCTTCACCACTCAAGCCCAGCTCGTGGCTCCCCTGGTTTGGGTCTACCTACTCGACCACTGTCCTCCTTCTAGGTCAGCTGCTGAGTGCCAACTTGTCAGTGAGTGGAAGAATTTTTATATTTTATTATTTTTACTTTAATAATAATAAATTACACTAAGTATTCTAACTTCACACTTTTAAAATTAACAATATATCCTATATTTATTCTACAAGTTAAAAAAATAAAATCAAATAATAAAACTAATTAAAACACATAAATCTAGCTTTAACAATAGTCAACCAAAGTTAAATGACTTGATGTAGGTTGAGAATAGATACATGGGCAAAGAAGGTCTAGAATATGCCAAGCAAACTAAAGAGAATAAGTTTGAGAAATGGAGCAAAAATATGTTCCGCTGTGCAAAACTTATAAAAAGGGTAGAAATACCTCAGGATACTCAATTGTGAATTGTGTTACTCCTTGAAAATAAATAAAAAATTTAAGCAACCTTTAGACATGTGCAATATGAGAGAAAATAATAAAACTCTAATGAAAAGGAAAAATAATCAAATCTTGATTCCAAAAAATCTGATAGAAACCATTGGGAATATTAATATAGATTATGCATGGATCCACATTCTAAAATAAATTCTACTTATTCTAAGGGACTCTTTGAATGGAAGAAATGTCATGGTACATTGATGGTAGATGTCAAAGTCATATGACTAGAGAGAGAAGGTGGCTTGTTTCATTCATTCACATAGAAAGAGATGATGTCACTTTTGAGAGTAATGAAAAGGGAAAAATAATTAGATATGAAAACATGCAGATCAATCCAAAAAATGTAATTGAAAAAGTTATGCTAGTAAAAGGACTAAATCATACCTTGCTTACTATCAGTTAGTTATCTTATGATGGATATAGAATAAATCATCAAATTATTTGTTGTCTGGATTTAAATGAAAAATTTGATTGTGATGCTGTATTAGAACAAAACGGATTAGAAAGTGACTAAAATCTAAAGATATGATCGCAACTAGTACACCTTTCAACTTATTACAGTATTAAAGAATTAAAAAAATAGTAAGAAAATAAGAAATAAGAAAACTCTGAAATTAAGAGAATTAGGAGTGATCACAGTGGACAATTTGAAAAATCTGAACTTCTTTTAATTATGTGATGATAAAGGACTCTATCATGAAGTTTCCAACACTAGGACACCTCAACAAAATGGAGTTGTTGAGAGAAAAAATAGAACTCTTCTAGTTGTTTCTAGCACACAAATTAGATTTTTATAAATAGAAATATCAATTGGTGATAATGTTAATGTTCTAGAATTAGAAGAAATTTTAGAAAAAGAAATTCTTCCAAGATAATGGATGTATGTAAAAAATCACCCAACATACCAAATCTTAGATCTTGATTGACTTGTCATTCATGGCCAGTGATTTGATTTTGATTCTCTCACAATGGTGGAATTGATTTAAGAGCCACATCAAGACTGACGATTCCATCAAAAGGCACTCAGTTTTTTGTTAATTTGTAGTGATTATATGTTGTAATACTTTTCTAAAACTGAGTCCTATAGCCCATGAAACTATAGTCTTTATGACAGTTGTATCCAATATTTTTCCATTGTCTGTCTCAAGTTATTAAGATAACTAGTTACTCAATCAGATTACACAAAATAAGATATACTTATTTTAATCTACAAATTCCCAAAGTGGTCTTCAGATTATTTTAGATGAGTTGAAGTTTTAATATACTGTGAGACAAATTTTTTTGATGTAAAGTTCAAGAATTGAAGAAAATACTATAGAGCAGAATGATCAACTTAGAATTAGTGTGAGAAAAAATGAGCCTATATCACCTTAAAGCATTATTCTCTATTTCTTGTCATGTTTGAAACATGGAATATTTCAACCGCAGCGAGCCAAATCCTGTTACCTCAATGCCTGGTATGAACAAGAGGGGGGGAATGTCTCTCTCTCTCACTCACTCACTCACTCACTCACTCTCTCTCCCTCTCTCTCTCTCTCTCTCTCTCTCTCTCTCTCTCTCTCTCTCTCTCTCTCTCTCTCTCTCTCTCTCTCTCTCTCTCTCTCTCTCTCTCTCGCTCATAACTGATATCTCCGATAGTCTTTTTCCAGGAAAGGATCTTACCCAAAGCCTGCCTTCTAGGATCTCTCCAGACTAAAAGCTCGGTCCCCCGCTGGCGAATGGCGTACAGAGGTAGATGATATCACCGATTCGTGGATCACTTTCATTCAAACCAAAATTGAAGCTTATCGAAGGGTCCTCAGTATTCCTCTTCAACACATTCATTCCAAGGCAAAGATTATTGATGATTTAAAAATCATCAAACATGTCACATTAGTGACGATTCAAACATTTCAATCCTAAAGACCCGAACGTGAATCAGGCTTCGAGAATTACAATGAAAACAAAGAAGGTAAAGGGAAATCCAAACCAGATGTATGCCTTGCAGCGGTACCGCGTTCCATCTCTCTACATTCTCTGAGCAAATTGCTCAAACCTTATCTAGCTATTGATTTAGACGTTAATAGAGCATGACGTGAGCAAATTGCTCAAACCTTATCTAGCTATTGATTTAGACATTAATAGAGCATGACGTCAAATTATAAAAAATGCTCCATTTCTGTGGTTGGCAGCCAGGGGCGATGGACCGTGGTTAACACTGTCTGGTCCCGTTGTCAGGCACGCAGCTGCAAAGTCCAATATCACAAAGAAAATTGTACCGACCAAGACTGGCTCATACCCAGCTTGGTCCAGGCGTCGATAAGATTGACTCAGACAACTGGAAAGCATTGTACATGATGACAACTTGAGGCAATCAGACATTTCCTCTTCAACCCTCTCCTCTTTCTCTCCCCCTCCCCCCCTCCCCTCTCCTCTCTCCAACTCGGTCCCTGCCTCTCTCTCCCTCTCCCCCCCAACTCGTTCAGTTCTTTTCTTACTCTCTATCTTTTGTCGTCCATTCCTAGACATCCTCAGTTCATCAATAAGTATTTACTGGCCATATTTCTCTCGCTCACCGAGAGTAGCTGATATATGATTGTCCCTGACAGTATGCGGTCGTTCTTGGTTACGATGATGGTTGAAAGAGGCTATAAGACGGGAGATGGGGTGGATCACTCCTTCAGCGAAGGTTGAGAGAACGCCATCCTCGAGGACTGTCAAAGAGATCCTACGAACGGGCATCCCTCCCCCGTTTGGTAAGCGTAACCGCTAAGGAACCGAGTTGTATACTGTAGGTGTCACATGGGGTGTGAGACACAGAGGCTTCCAAATCTTCTTACGACATACGCCACAGTTAACGCTTATTTCCATCGACAAGTACAAGCAGATCCCACGCCAAGCAATGTGAAAGAGTGCTCTAAACACCACTGGCTGCAGACACGCCTGGGCATCCTTCCCTGTTGTCGGGACGCCTCTTGTTTATTAGATAGGTACGTACCACTAAGCAGTTCCTTGCTCCTCCAGCCTCTTTCGATATGCGGATGCAGAGAGGTGAAGAGAAACAACGCCAACGGGCCAAGCTACGAGTCGTGTTCACAGCTGGCCTCGACAGCC